GGATAGAACCCGAAATGTGAGTTTCAGCAGAGAATGCTTCGTAGCGACGACCTCCTGTGAGAACCCGGATCGTTCTCTTTGCAGACTGTGTTATAGGTAAGCCTTTTGAAGTGTTTTAAATGGATTTGTGTCTGTGTGTAAGAAATCTCCCACGTAGGTGTGAGACGGCTGTACTTGTAAGCAATTCCACCACTGTTTAGTTATGGAAATATTTTGTATGTTGATAGCTGATCTTATTGTAAATAATATAAACCAATACTCTTGAGGATATAAGGTTGGTCGTTATGAAGTAACATTTAATCATGGAGGATACAGATATATCATGTAGATTAAAAACAAATTGCATCCACTTAACAAGACTTCAGACGTCAGCTATTGGATGAGAGCACAATATACTTCATGTTATGGTTCTTACTTCGGCGGATAATGCACTTACTTTCATTTGGCGAAGGGGTAGTGGGGTCAGACTAATGGTTAAAGCATTCGCACGTCATGCCCGAATTCGATTCATCATAAGGGTATAATCCGTGAAACCCATTTCTTGTGGCACCCCGCAGTGATATTATTGAATTATTGCTACATGTGCCATGACATCATACTCACTCACTCACTCGACAGACATACCATTATGAATTGTTTTCAGGAACCCCTCGAAAACAACAAGGAATAGAGCTTTTTAGAGAAATCTCGCCAGGTTGTCTCTTCCTCAAACTAATTTATCGAGGAGTCTTGTAATATACATTGTTTGCAGTGCGTCATTACACAGCAATTGGTGTACACTCGAGCATGCTCTTTCTGCGAAGACTCTCATTCGACTCTTGCTCAGGGGAGCAAGATTCAATGCCTCGAAAAAGCCTTCAGAAAAGTTTATCGGACACCGGCCGTCGGGGTATACCGAGCCTCAACACCCGGATCCATTTAGTCGACTATTACGACATACCAATTCTATCTACACGATTTCCCTATTAAGCCGCACCTTACTGCTGATAATGGGGTCCTGGGGGTACGTTTTGCCACAGAGACCCAGGTCACATACTGTAACAACATGATCGCTGGAACTCGAGTGTTATGGCAGGCTTTGTGAACTCCATCGGGAAGATCGAGGTGATTTCGGCTTAAAATTTACAATTAGTCACAATTTGCACGAATAGACATCAGCATTACTATCTTATCTGTATTTAGAGTTTGGTAGTCACTTTGACCTGAACGCCAAGATCACTATGTTAGATGGTTCGTTGTGGAGCATTGTTGAGGGTCTACTGAAAGAGTTCAACATAGTGTCAGAATAACCATTAATAGCAGTATGCCATTTCAAAAGTGAAGCTGTATCTGTATTCTTTATTTGTCCACATAATATATATTGCAGTATTGTTTTGAGATGCGTGCTCTGTTAAGGTGGAAATATATATACTCAAAGGAAAAGGTTATTGTGCCATGGCTTTTCTCACTTACACACGAGGGTAAATGTTTATGAAAAAGCTCGAAGAAACACAACCGAGCAGATGTCGTAAATGTTGTATGCAAAAGAATACGAATATTGGGAAGAATTTCCTGAAACTGTTTTCTATTCAGGCCAGAAAGTCAATCCTACATATCAGTACCCTTCTCAGCAATCAAAGGTGTGAGAACACAGTTCAGAAAACATGACTTTTAATCGTTTGATGAGATATCACTCACCATGTGTGAAAATGAATCTTGTACTCAAATTGAACGTATGACACTTACGGCGACGTTATCGAAGTTCAGGAAGTTCGGTCTCAGGGAGTAGTTGGATTGGTGACCGCGTTCAGGAGCTTGACTCCTGAGAACTTCTGGGGCTTCGTTTCTGGCCCACACTGTAGCACATAAAGCACATGTGGTGTCGCCTAAGTGGCTTTGTTCCAAATGTGTCTCTGTTCACTCGGCAGTGAATGGGTACATGGTAGGATAAGATGGTAATGAGGCTGTTAACCTTCTGGCGCCTCACAGGCAGCTTGGGTTGTATACTCCCTAGGGAGCTGAGAATGAAAATCGAGTGCACACTGATCCATTGACCGGGGTAATAATAGTGTAGTTCTGTGAGCATCCACTTAGTGAATGGAATTTGGCGCATTATAAATGCATATATTATCAAATGTTCTTATCTTATCTTATTGTTTGTTTGTTGTTTAACGCCGCACTCTGCAGTATTCCATCTATATGTCGGCAAGCATATGCAAATGCAGTTAATCATTACTCAGGTACATTGTACTTCATAAGTATTATTATTTTTGAACAGTCTGGCTTCACGTAGGTAACAAAATAATCCCCCGATTGATCTATTTTGACACATCAAACGCTTTGGGATTATCAGCAACTTAATTACCCTGTTTTGGGCAACTGACGTTATTGCATTACCCAAGTGGCAGATACTGATATATTGCTCGGTGCACTAATATGGTGATAGCGGACTGAGTGTTGTAAACTCTTCACACTCAAGTTAATTGACGAAAAATGTGACACCCTTTGTGTCTTTCCTATTTACAACATTAAGGTGCAATACAATAACAAATAAGGAACACTTCCCTACAATTTAAATGGCTAAATGTCTGCGGTAAGACGTATTAAAGACGTATAACACTCGAATGAATCACATTGACATGACAATTGTCAAGAGTCAATTGTATGATTTCGAATGTATCTTAAGCAATGGTTTATGAATCCCTATCAAATTGCACCGGACATAATTTTCTCACCCATGGAGTTCAAGCAACTTTTAAGAGCCCATTTAATGAACGGCTTGTTAGCTTAACGTGCTGGATAGTACCCCATTTAAGTCATCTATGATTTATTATGGAGATCTTCTCATTACGTATTGGCATGAAGCGTGTTATACATTTGTTTACATACATGAGCAAAAAAAACTTTTAAAATCTGGAGCTGTTGAATAATAAAAGGGAAAGGTGAGTATTGGAGAGTTGAAGTCATCCCTCTTATCTTTATGCACAGATCTAAATATGAAATAGATGAGGTGGTTTTGCTTATATTTCTAGTTCCGTTGCGTTAATTAGTGAAAGGGAATGAGCTCTTTTTTACTGTTTTGAATGATATCAGATTATCGCTATACTTGAAGTTTCAGTTAAATTTTTTTGTCCGAATAACCTTGTTTTGACTTTGCCAAGAGGAAACAAATTCCGATTCACGTGCATAAAGAAACAGATCAATACGATCCCTTCTTCTTAACGAAATATCTTTCAGAATATCTATCAGAATTTCACACAGTGTTTACTTCAGATGACATTTGCTTTCATTTTTGACAAATTGCCCTGAATCTCTGAAGAAAAAGATGCACCTACATATAGGATCACAAATGACCCACAGATCGAAGAAAGACGTTTTCCTCTTAGTTTGTCATGCGGGATGGTGTGGTACAAAGTTAACAAAAAAAATCAAATGTTTTGACATAATTGAAATTTATTCTTTTCTGAGATTGCAAGATTCAAGCACATTCTTTGATTGTTTTTTTGTGTGAATCTACAAGGTATTACCTCTACCTGTGAATATAAAGAAAGTACTTCCGCGATAGTATTACGGATTATGTTTAATGTTTAAGACAGGGCTTGTCTGTACATGTCCAACATATCACTCTCTTCTTGGGTTGCTATTAAGGTTTGAAAGGTTAGAAACGTTCTTTGATCAAACAATTTATGTACTGATGCTTACATATGATGATTATTTGAGGCCTTGTCAGTAAGAACAACTACAGACGTTTCATGTAAGACACTCAGATTTTGGATGACAGTTGGTGTGGACTCTACCAATGACAACAATACGCACTTACTTCACCCACTCTCAAATAAATTCAAAGGGCTCATCTGCTCTCGAACACGCTTATAACGGACTGCCAGATATAACGAACTTATTTTTTATGAACTTATTACTGTAATTTTACAACACTAGCATTTACTGACTTCCTCAAAACTGCATTCCTTACAACTAATCACTGTCCAAATACAATGCAATGAGCTTCTACCGAATATTAACTGAAACTATCAAAAACTACTACTACTACTACTACTACTACTACTACTACTACTACTACTAAAAATAATAATTCACACATTCACAAAGTGGATACTCACAGCGCTACACTATTATTACCCCGGTCAATGGATCAGTATGCCCTCGATGTTCATTCATCTCCCTGGGGAGTCTACAACCCAAGCTGCCTGTGAGGCGCTAGAAAGGTAACAGCTACATTACCATCTCATTCTACACTATCAATGTAATGCAGTTTCAATCATTGTTTCACAATAAAATGCACTGCCATATAACACAATACATAGCTTTGAAAAATCATATCTTCTGTATACACAATCCTACATGAAACTAATATATTTAAACTGACCTCGATTGCCCAAGATACCCCTGACCTCTATATTGTTATACCATTGACTCCTCAGCTCTCAGCTCTCAGCCATACCCAGTCACGCTTTCGTGAATCTAACCTGTTCCTATGGTAATACCTGACGGTATCTGACAAAAAACGTTCCCACCAGCTCAGCTCATTAGCCACACCATAATACAAGTAATAAAATCGATTTAATATAAACACATTTATCCGTCATCTTGACAGGGTGTAGGTGAAACTATATTCAGTGATTCGATGCTAAGTAGTTAACAGGGTAACAGAATCCTACGTTAACCTATGAAATATATTTTTAATACTCGTGCGCATGGGTCTGTTTGAAGACGCAACTCACTTGATATGTAAGAGGCATAAATTAAACTGACATGACAACAGAAAACTATTGGAGTAAAAGTCAATAATAGTTCCAAATACAAGGAAATAATTCTGATCGTTAAGGCATAGCTAAAACATTTGAAATTGACAACAGCGTCCACAGTTTCTGTTTGAGGCTGTCCCTTGATTCGGTGTGCGAGTTACTGCACTAAGCCGGTAGATAACGAGTCAAACCCAGCGATCACGTGTGCTGAGGCGGCCAAAGGCCTATGCGTACAAAAGCAACAGTTAACATTTAGGGACAACAGCTATCACTCGCGTACGATTAATGCTGATTTTGACGTAGCATATGTTTCTGTCAATACTAGAATGACTCTACTTTTGATAATTTTTATTATTTCAACACTAAGTCTTGAGATAACCTCTCACTGTCATCCTAACTGTGCCTGGTTAACACCAGGCGATTGGAGCGAATGCAGCCGGACTTGTGGCGGTGGGTCTCAAAGTAGGACCTTGCATCTTTGCTGCAATCATGACGAGTCTTTTGACAACTGTCTACAGCGGTGCCACAGCGGCTCTTATGCAAGCGGCCCAGACGACACCAGAGCATGCAACAAAATATGCTACAATGGTGGTACTTATGGTGACCGGTGCAGGTGTAGAGAGGGATGGACAGGTACATGCTGTCAGGAAGGTAAGACGACATTTTACAATGTTTTACCGATGTAGGTATCTCAGCGGCATACTGTATGACTGCTGTATTGTGAGAACATTTAGACATTTGCTTTTGAACAGTTAGTCATGAAGCATCTGCTGTAAAGTGCATATGTTTTAGTGACGTTATTTCCAACCCTAAACCAAACGTTTGTCCATGTACTTTTATCATTGTCATCCAGAATCCTTCATCACTTTATATGATTGGTGGTGAGTGCGTGTGTGAGTGTGTGTGTGTGTGTGTGTGTGTGTGTGTATATAATGATATATATGTATGTGGGTGTATGTGTCTTTGTGTATGAGTGTGGAGATATGATGGGAAGACCAGTACTTGATTGATCTCGATGACACTGCATGGCGACTCTCCCAGGACCATGTTGTTGATGAAATATTTGTGAACTTTCAGAAATGATTTGTAGCATCTAGTGAGCACACTCAAAAGGTGCTACAATAAGTAGTTCCCCATACCTCAGACCCGTAGCACGGAATACGTGTAATCACAGCATCAGACACGTCACAAAGATCATAAAGATCAATACACCAAAAATATTTCTGGTAGTTGTTGATTGAGAATACTCCTTTTCACACTTGAGCTACTACACATGTTCGAGCCTTTGTTTGAAAACCATAACAAGATTTATGTTGACAACTTCTATTTCTTTTCTATTCAGGAACATATTATTTTCTGCGGATGGTACCCCGCCAATTCGAAAGGCAATTTTAGTTTTAGTGAAATCAATTTTCATTCCAGTATCTGCACAAAATACTTTCCCAAATACGAATTTTCTTTTTAAGCTGTAAAACGCAAAGACAGATGAGACTTCAGCAGCAAATAATAATGAAAACACACTGACATTGTCAGCTCTCGTCAAATTTCAAATATCTCACCGTAGCCTGTATCATAACTTTAAAATACATTTTACTAATTGCTTGTTTTAAAATTATTATATTACGGCCGTGATGGAATGTTTTTGACCAATTGATTCTATGTGTAATATTGATTCAAAGTTGACATGTTATTAAATCAATAGATCACTGAAAATTAGTGATGAATCCAAGTGTTGGCAAAGAGGGTAAACATGTCCTGTTCTACCAGTAGCACACATTCACCCACACAGCTTCCATAAAGAGTAAATGTTTGTTGCCTAACGCCGCGCAGCAGTACTCCTGCCATACGACGGCGACTTAGGGATGAAACATAAGGGACGTTAAAGGGGAAAAACAACCAAAGAGAAGAGAAATAGTGAAATTGTTTAGTTCATGGTACATGTATGTACTTTCGAACTGCTATGAATAATGATATTTTATTCAGCAAGATTAAACAGAATAAAAACATATATCAACGAGTACGCTAACCACTAAACTGTACATTATCAGTTTAATCAGTGTGATGCTGCAGAAGATAGTGAAAGAGCACACGAAGGGAATCTAGGCGGACTGACAATTACATTTCCTCATCTAATAGATGAAAACTAGTGAGTGGATGAGTAGAGTGTTATGGTTGTTATCTGTAATGTCTGTCTTATCATCGCTACGCAATTCATTGCATTTCCATTCAGAAAATGTCGACCATCCTCATGGTCTAGTGGCAGAGCGTCCGCCCGAAGAGCGGAAGTTCGGGGTCTCGCGATCGATCCCCGGCTGCGTCATAGCAAGAGACGTTAAAAGATGGAATTTGTTGTTACCTTTCCTGACGCTCGGCATGACAGGGCTCAAACAAGGACTGGTTGGTTCGGAGTCAGTATACTGTGTCTGAGTGGGGTATTCATGTTAAACTGCGGCATGGTATCTCAGTGGGCTAGTACTATAACATCGGCATTACTTCTGACTTGCACAAGAAGCCACAGACAGACACACATTCACGCGCGCGCGCACACACACACACACACGCACACCTATATAAGATTAATAATCTTGAACTCGACGTTAAACCCCATTTCACCTCACCTCAGAAAATGTTTGTTTCTATGTAACCAATTTATTTTCTTACTCAGTAATTAACGTTACTTACGTGTTTTTTTTAAACCCGTGAAGATTCCGGGGTAGAATAGGTCTTCAGCAACCCATGCTTGCCGTAAAAGGTGACTATGCTTGTCGTAAAAGGCGACTAACGGGATCGGGTGGTTAGGCTCGCTGACTTGATTGATGCATGTCATCGATCCTAATTGCGTGGATCGATGCTCATGATATTAATCACTGGATTGTCTGGTCCAGATTATTTACAGACCGCCATCATATAGCTGGAATATTGCTGAGTGCGGCGTTAAACAACAAACCAACCAACCAACCAACCAACCAACCGTGTTTTTACAGGTGAACAATTTACTTGCCCTTCTTTGTTTGTGACGGTTGTCACCGATGGGGCAGGATACGCTCATCGTTTCGGTGACACATGGTATCGTGACTATTTTATACTGATTGATAAACACGTGTTTGAGATACAGTCAGACTCGTACAATGGACTCTGCTTTATGTATAGATTTAGGAATTGGTTTTGTCGCATTTAATTAAGCATTTCGTATTACACTTCAGCTACCTGCTCCTATATCAGCAATAGATGGTGCTGGCCAGGTCACTGTAACGACGGTCTAACGACGTCTTGCGCTTGCGAGAGTGGATTCAAGAAGTCAGGAAAGTCCAAGTGTGACAGTAAGAGAACTCTACAGTTTTGGTTTAAGTTACCAGCGGACGTCTTGGTATTCTCGTATGCTTTAAAGGTCTATATGAGACTATGTCTTTCTTAGTAATTAATCCAATTCAGTTTCTGCCTTCTCTGGCCACGAGGGATTGGTTGAGCGGTAAATGCATATAGTTCTAGCCGCTCACTGCACCGTATATAAACAATATAAATAAACCTAGCCATAGATAGTCGTTATATTTATGGCTGAATTGTACGGCTTGTTCAAACACAATAGGTTCAGTCATAGTCAGAAATGCATTATGTGCCATGTAGTCCAGGATCGACTATGAAGTTCTCTGTCCTACATACAAATGAGTGAGTGAGTGAGTATGGTTTAACGATGCTTTTAGCAATATTCCACCAATATCACGGAGGGGGACACCAGAATTGGGCTTGCCATATTTTACCCATGTCGAGAATCGAACCCGGGTCTTCGGCGTGACGAGCGAACGCTTTAACCGGTAGGCTACCCGACCGCACTCCTACATACAATTGTCAACAAGCCTTGCACCAGCATACCTGACACTTATCAGTCACGTACCGCTTCACGTTTCTATCTACATAGATTGATTGTTATTGTTCAGCTATAGCGCTTTGGACATGCACCGAGTGTATGGAGGCTAGCGCAATATACGTACACATTATCATCATTATTAGTCTGTTGAATTGTGTTATCTTCGACTTGCAATAAAATTGAGAACATTAAGAACGAATTTGCAATAAAATCGATCACCTACTCGTGCAAATTAGCCAGTTATATAATTGGGGCTTAAAGTACGAATGAAATGGTATCAAAGAAATGTAGCCTTGCTGTGATATCATGCCGAATTATGGTGATATATTTTGTGCACTATTGTCTCTATGCATTCCAGCTATAAATACTTATCATCACAATGCATAGATCCCACTTGCAATTATGTTCTAGTTAACGCAACGGCAGACCTGCTCACCTGCAATGTTGGAATAGAAGACATTCACAAGAACGTTGGGAACAGCACCAGCAGTGACAGCAGCACTGCCTGTGACTCCATGTCAGGCGTCTTCATCAACATACAGCCTACGACAGTGTCCTTCAGCCTCACATCTGAATTCCAGAGGAAAATATCTTCCCCTCAGCCTGCGTATATCACCAGGACCCTAATCGGCATTGTGGGTGGCAGGGTGACAGTTACAAAGAGGAGTCTGTCAGGTAGATACCACAATTTGTATGTACAAATGTTACGACCATCCTGTTTTAGACGTTCTCTTCAGTGTTATCTACTTGTATTTTTAGAAGCTTGTACTGTTCTATGAAGTCAACAGTGGAACATTGTGATTAAATCACACAATCGTGTGATCTCGACATGTCCAAAAAACTGCGATAACAACCCAAATCACCTGAGAAATAGTCTCACTAAGCGAGTTTAAAGTAAATGAAAATTACTTGAAATTCATAAAATAGTAATTATACAATTTGATGGACGCAATACATATTCTCTACAACACGTTTAGTTTCGAATGAGAGCAGAGTTAACTCCCTTCGTGCACACCCCTACAATGCGCTCAGATCACAGTATCTCTTTTCACTATTCAAGCAGGCTGATACAGTCCCGGATATTGAACGATGAAACCCCCTAATAAATAGGCACAAAAAAGGCAAAATCCCAATAATGTATCATTCGTTATCTAGCAATTTCGATATCTAATGAACATATTTCATACAACATTCTCACAATGTAGGCACACGCACTGTCTCTACGTCAAGAAATATATATTTAACATAAAACATATGAACTTTCAATATGTACTTGTATCAACCTTGCGAGCTACAAGTCGGTTAAACCCGAATCTCTTCCATTCACGAAATGATGGTTCAAGTGTCAGATTTGAAGGTGTTTATTCTTATTCAAATTTCCTTTACAATATTCATTAAACTAATCTTGTTCACAACAATACATTGACGTTCTCACATGCCGTGTCTACATCAGCATGCTTACGTTGTTTCTGTAGACAGTAGTGAAAAACACTGCTGACTGATCGACAGCTTATGATAATCAATCGAACTGGGCTGTTCTGTACTGTACATAATATATATACGATGTCATTTGGTACAAAAAATATTTTCTTGAGCGAAGACCAAACTCAAGAAGAAGACTACGTATTGTTTGCGCCGAAACGTCGGAGGCGGTATTAGTCGCTCGAACGGTCCGATGACGTAGATGGAAGACACAGGTGAACTCATCATTGGTCTGCTATAGTGAGTGAGTGAGTATGGTTTTACGCCGCTTTTAGCAATATTCCAGCAATATCACGGCGGGGGACACCAGAAATGGGCTTCACACATTGTACCCATGTCGGGAATCGAACCCGTGTCTTCGGCGTGACGAGCGAACGCTTTAACCACTAGGCTACCCGACCGCCCCTGATCTGCTATATCTTGACCGATCTCGTGTAGACCCATACCGTTCATATCTGTCAAGGACAGAGATTCCAGCATCTATACGCCCGATGACGTTATTTCTAGTCTTGTCTAGCCTTGGAATATCCAAAATTACTATCAGTTCAAGCAACAGTAACAGGTGGCCTTACAAATACCACCCTTTTCTACCCGACACCCTTACCCCCCATTTCCCATAGAATCACGTGCGAAGTGTATTTAAGTATTTCATTTCACGCCTATTTCGTGACAATTATTACGTAACTCCACAGAAGCTACACAATTACGACACAATTTGTAACCACAATCAAATATGTGATTGCTTGTGTACACGGGATTACTTGTTTTAAAATAATAATTTTGCAGTTTAAGAAGTATACACTTCCGCATTTCTCGTTATATTTTTCTTTGTGTAAGGGAAGTAATGAGTTGTGAGTAGTAGGTGATAGGTGTAAACAGGTGTCGAGTATAAGTCTATAATTGTTTTGCAAGTCTAGAATTTTAAATTCTGAGAGTCTATTAGCGATTGCTAAACATATCAGTTTTTGCATCTTGACAAATTTGTTTTTCATCCCTGGTGTATAGGTTATGTCGGCGTTGATCTTTTAAAACCCTGATTAATTAAAGTAATAATGCTGCACTTAAAAAGTACTTTTTGTTACAAGGGGGTTGGGCTTTATTATTGTAACATCAACGTCAGAGAATACCGGATCTCGAGTATCCGACGTAATATATTCTATTGAGCGTAAATGCCAAATACAGCGATATATATTATATGGAGTGAAACAAATAACTACATGTGGTTCGTCATTTGACCTTTTCCATTTATATGTCCATATGCATATACCAGTATATTCATATGTTAAGGGTCCCGTGAAGATTCCGGGTTAAATTGGTATTAAGCAACCCATGCTTGTTGCAAGAGGTGATTAACGGGATCGGGTGGTCAGTCTCGCTGACTTGGTTGATGCATATCATCGTATCCAAATTGCCTGGATCGATGCTGATGATGTCAATCACTTGATTGTCTGGTCCAGACTCGATTATTCACAGACCGCCGTCGTATAGATGGGATATTGCTGAGTGCGGCGTTAGAGAAAACAACAAACAATTCAAATGTTAAGGGTCTCCTCTTTGTCTCTATTTGTGGTTTTGGCTCTTTTTTTCTGCAACAGGTTATGACGTTTAGCCTATAGTGTTTCTATGATACCAGAGAGCCAGGTTCAAATTCATGTCATGATTTCAAGATCCGTTTTGTATAATATTATTTTAAGTCAGGGTATTGCTAAACGTAGTATGAACCAGAGTACTGACACACTTTTTAAATGTTCGTTCTCCAGCAATCTACGAAAAATACACACATCCCTTCAAACTATGACGTGGAAATGGCTTTGTATATATGAATAAAAGAAAATATCATTTCAATGTCAACACTGATTCAGAGAATGTACAACAGTCATGAGGTTTTTATGTATTACCAAAGCATAAACATAGTTGACACAATTTCTTTAGTCGGGAGTTTTCTACAAGTTGTGTTTTTTTACCTTTTGTACAGTTACTTCAAAATTCGCATTTTGACACACATATATGTACACAATGTTCTATGTAAAATTATGATTCATTCAACATTAGAATGTGCTGACATTTTATAAATGTCCATTCATACAGTCATGGGGTGGGTCAGCATTGTTAGCTCTGCTAACAGTTTAATAAAATTAGCAGGGTCGTTTAGTTGGAAATGATCAACCTCGAGCTGTCATCAAATTAAGGATCAGTCATTGAAAATGTACATATTCAAATTCTAATTTAACTTACCTTGTTTGATATATAAATATAGCTTACATTGGTGATAACAATTTATGTCATTATGTTAACCTAGCATGATAACACAGCAGAAAGGCATAGCGCCTACACGTAATCAACCACAACTGAAAACTGGAGGAACACGCGTTATCGAAATGGTCTGTACTTATGGAAAAGTGAATGTTGATGAAGTAAATGAAACGAAGACGCAACGAAAATTATAACGAAATCATAACATTGACTGACGTCCAAAAGAAACTTTACCAGAGTTTAAAATCACTCTTGCTCAAAAACAACAAAACATACATGCATAAAGTAAAGTGTATTGAGAAGGTCAATAATAATATCAACATAACCAACACTGAAAATGACAATCATACCGCGAGCGAGAATGACGTCAGACCACCCCAAAGTTGGGTGTGGTACAAAACTCGAGCTTTCAGAACCATGGACAATAGGGAGTGTACATAAACAATCGCTCACGTTCAATAACTAGTCATTAGTAGCGTGTGTGACCACCAAATGCCTCAATACACGCAAAAACACTTCGACCCACAGAAAAAGTCAGTCAGTCGTCTGAGGTCACGTGGGATTTGACGCCATACTTCTTGGAGGGCCAAGATCAATTCTTGCCGGTTGGCTGGAGAGTGTGGTCGTTGTCGAACACGACGATCCATCAAGTCCCAGAGGTGTTCTATGGGGGACATGTCGGATGAGCGTGCAGGCCACGGCAGGACGTTGACGTTGTTGGCTGCGAGGAAGTTAGTGACAACTCTGGCTGTATGGGCTCTAGCGTTGTCATGCTGATAATGACACCACTTGGCTGCTGTTGGAGAAATGGTAGGACAACTTGACGAAGAATGTTATCCATGTAACGCTGAGCTGTCAGGTTTCCGTCAACGATGACCAGCGGTGTCCTCTCCTGCCCACAGATCCCTCCCCACACCATGACACTCCCTCCACCATATGGTACGACCTCCTGCACGCAACACGCCGCCGTTCGTTCACCCCTTCGGCGGTACGTTGTCTTCCATCAGCCCTAAACATACAGAATCGACTTTCGTCAGTGAAGACAACCCTCTGCCAGTCACGTCGTTGCCAACGTCATGCAGTCCGGGCCCATCTCAATCGCAGACGACGAAGTTGCGCTGTCAATAGCTGTCCTCTGTATGGTCTAAAAGTCCTGATTCCATTATCCCTGAGTCTCTATCCCTAACCCTGTGACCTGGGTCTGCCTGTTCTTGGCCTGTCAGCGGTCCGCCCTATCTGTCTGTAACGTTGCATCAAGGTGGTAACGGCAACACGGGAGCAACCGAAGGTTCGTGCAATATGGGCGTGGGCGGCTCCCATCTGTACCATACCCAAGGCTCGTTCACGGTGTTCGACTGTGAGTCGTGGCATTTCTTCTGTGTGTTTTTTTTTTATCACTGTGGATGTCTGACTTGCCGTTGCAATCGTTTTATACCCTTACCCGCACGTGCATTTGCAGTTGTCCGTGGTGCACGTGTTTTTCACTTTTTCGCGTGTTATCTCGCAAACATGTAACAGACGATTAACATTTTCTGCATACACTATTGTTGTATTAAGGTTATGTGTTTTAGATAGACTTCATCGAAAATAAATTATACCTTGTCTGAAATATATATTTTCAGTTGGTAAAGTTTCTTTTGGACGTCAGTTTATATCATAATAAAACTGAACATATAATGCAGTCCCTTTGGTTAGCTGATATTGTGCATCAAGTGTTTCGCAGCTCCACCATTTCCTTCGGTTTCACCAGTTCCCAACAACAACGGGCATCAGACACCATGGCATATGGTACCTTTGCATCAAAATGAAAAATTGTAGTCTCATGCAAAGCAAACTCCTACGAGTGTACAACCAATGATGTTTATCAAATGTTTGCTACATTCATTCGTTTGTTAATGTTGATATCTGTTGACATTTGTTGTTATTGACACTTCAGGTTCCATGGTCAGCGCTTCACGTTACCCATGTTGCATCATGAAAGTCAGCCCTGTAGGTTTTGATCTTTCAAAGCAGGCGTCTTTCGATGAACGGGGTCCATGAGAAGGTATTTGCTATACACTGTATATATATGTATGGGCATAATCACGGAACTTGATAGAAGTGCTTTGCCTAAACTCAAATATGACTACAAACTCGGTTAGACCTTTCTCATGTACAACATGTCTGTCTCCCAGACCCAAGAGAATAAATTAAATAAAAGGAATCCAACTCAAGTCTAGAATGATTTGGCAAGTAGAGATTAAAGCATTAAACTGAACAGTGTTCTAGTATCCATTTGAATTTTATTATCAGTGTGTAAGTAGGGGACTGATGGACATAACATTGAACATTTTGAGCTGAACGGTAACTGGGGGCATAAAAAGCATATTAACTATGAATGTATTAACCAAATTTTCAGATACATGGACCTTTTCGTCACCATGAATATCAACAGGGAACTTAAATGAGGATCGGCAACCTGGTAGATTGTCCATCTAACCGGACAGCGTTGGTCTTTCCTTGGCTGGGGTGTAAAACACACTGACTCACTTATTGTTATTTGCAATTCAATGTTCATCTTAATTGTTATTGATGAACAAATAATATATTGTTTACTGAATTAAAACAGTGACATAATAACTACAGTTTTATGTTAGCTGTGGCTCTCTTGGAAAATGAAATATTCCGGCGTTATGACGGCGGTCTGTAAAATAATCGAGTCTGGACCAGACAATCCAGTGATTGATATCATGAGCATCGATCCACGCAATTGGGATCGATGGCATGTATCAACAAAGTCAGCGAGTCTGACCACCCGATCCCGTTAGTCGCCTTTTACGACAAGCATAGTCGGCTTTTACGTCAAGTGTGGGTTGCGGAAGACCTATTCTAGCCCGGAATGTTCACGGGTCCTAAAATTATGACTGTTTACATTGTTACATCAAGTATGTGCCGCAAACCATCCGCGAAATCGAGTACGCGTAGTAGAATGGCAAAATCGAACAAGGAAGTAGAAGATGTGCCTAGAATTGTAGAATTCAGCATTTCCACTAAAAGCTACGAGCACGCGGTAAAACGGCATGTGATCTAACACGCGAGAGCTGAGCAATTAAAGCTAGAGAAATAGAAATGCTGGCCGCAACTGTAGCTCGACTGACAATGCCACTTAAGAAAAGAGAGGAGCTTTATAACATCGTTCTCTCTGGTCGTTCAGTGCCCATATCCGGTGAAAAGGGACGCTTTCGTGTTTGCAGTGTTACATGCAGCAGAATTTCGGAGACACAGAACCAGTTGTAGAAAGGTGACATAAGATGTCAGTGGTCTCAAACTGTGAGACATTGGCAGCAACGTGATTGGTCAAGGATACAACAACGAGAGCAGGTTGAACTTGTTCCATGTGATAGTCGGATGCGGTTGTGAACGATTGGCTCTTGTTTGCATCCAAGGGATAACACTTTCTTTGGTACATCACTCCGGCAGCGTGGGTTCGAATCCCAAACATGACTCAACCCCCAAAAGAACGAGATTCTGTACTTTACAAAGAAAGTTTTATCCCAAATATAACATTTGTTACATTTGACCACTTTCTAAATAGCATTTAAGACCTACCCGGAGTTACTGAATGTCTGCTCCAATACTTGAATCCTTAACCTGCCATATACCCCTTTACTCTTTTTCCATTTGTTGAAGGTTTGGAACATACTCTATCATCAAACACATTGAGAGGGGGTGGTGACTGTACCAAGGACCTCTCATCAACTGAACCTTCAACACATATGTCATGCGTAAGAGTGTTGAGTGGAACATCTTCCCTACAGAATGGAGAACGGTTTGTTTTCTTAAGAAATAATAAGGTATCAGGTACTACTTAAATGTTTAAACTTAGGCTTAGACTTACTTACTGATGCAATGACATTATAAATGCAATTGGTAAGAAGAAAATACACATGTGATAATCTTTATAGCCAGATTCATATGTCACTGACGTGTCACTACCATGCTGGTGCATGGGGGACGATTGTACCTTATGATACTTTTGAGACATAACATCCTTATCAATTCTACAAAACAGTCATATTGAGTATTGCCCACAGTCTGGTTATTCTGAACATATCAGCGGTGGCGGTGTTATATGGACATAATCATAGTAATTTGACAAAATACATTGAATGTGTGCGTGTTAAGTATGTAATTTTACATGCTGTTATGGACCATTATTATGTAATGTCACCTGGAATTGAAATTAAGAAACAGACCAATCTAGGCATCAACTTCATTGTGTATAATCACGATTGTCATAGTATAAAGTGTGTATGAATACCTCTGAAAGAGTCACCTTCATGTTATGAACTGAATCTTATCAGGCAACCTCTGATTGAAAGAGACGTGTCCTCCTTTTACATGCTCAAAAAGCTGTGCCACTTAACTTTAATGCTAATTTCTAAGATACTTCGCTAAAAGATTAAAGGCGCCGTCTTTACTGTACACTTTTTGAGTCACGTCATGGCACTGTTCAAATTACCTCCCCCGTCATGAAACGTATCCTTGGTAAAATTGTTCTTTCATTATTGTCATACAACATGGCGCATCCACATCCATTTTTGGTGAAAAGGTTTCTTTCAACGTGTCGAAATTTTTAATATTATTACCTGGGAAGAAATAAGGCAAGATTATGTCTATCATCTCTGATGCCACTGTGTCCGTCTACCATATCTTAGACAACGGTGTTCGCGCCACAGCAGTCGCAAAATTGTCCTAGGCGGGCGTTCGTGCCCTACGAATTATGTATGTCTCTCAGGACATTGGAATGAGCAATCCTTGAAAAGTTTCATAAACACATGTTCACCTGTTACTCAGCTTAAGGTATTTAACAAAATCCGGTAGTCAAACAAAACGGCTTCTGTTGTTCACCCGGTAAGCTCAATAATTCATGTCTCACAGTTGCTGCAGTCTGCTAACATTAGTGGCAGTAACAAAGATGCAACAGAAAGCACATAAATTCACAATAACCAGCGACACCAAACTTCGTCCATTTTTACATGTTAGCTTGGCCACACAATGCACAATGCACGTTTTGATTCACGTGGTAAACTTGAAGCAATTTAATATAAAACCGGATAATGAAATTGACCTATTTAAGTAATAAACAACCCATTTTAGTGATGTTGTATTGTGTTTAAAACGTAAATTTCTCTTAACGTAAGGGTACAATTAGGTTGAACAGCTGATCAGTTAGCCCTGCTCGTGAAGTTTCAATTTAGGGCACCGCTCATTACAGGTTTCTTTTTAACACCGCGGATGTTGTGAAAATGGCATTGTATAAAGTTCATATACTTTCAGGTTATGTGCAGTGATGAATGTTTACTCTGGAGGAGCATTTTATTACCGTGCCTCTACCTGGCATCATCTGGACACAGAGAAGTTCACGCCAATTCTCAAAACAAAAACTATTTGCTTCAAGTATGACAGTATTTCTCCTGTTCACTGTAAAGGAGATTCAAGGTTCCCATGTCACTCTGCTAGTCCCCTCCTTTTATCCGCCAGAACCACTAGATCTCCTAACATCACTTTAGGAATTTCAGGATGGGTAGACCCCTACGCAGAACATGGGGCACCAGAACAAGCCTCAGGCGTGAAGTACTACAAGGTGGACGTTTATGGTATGAAACACCTGGATCTGAACACACAGGTTGTGGACTTTGATAGACAAGTATTCACATCAGGCAAGCTGACAGGAAACAATGTCAATATTACAGTCCCACTGCCTGCAGAAACTGCCATGTATGTTGCATATTTGGAAGTCCATGATGTTGCTGGAAATGTCCGATATGCGCGACGTTTTGTGTTGTATGATAACACATCTAAACTTGAGGTTAATACAACTGGAGTATTGAGGGTCACATCTGCGTCAATGGACACCAAATATACTTGGCAAATTCACCATGGGAACATTCAGTTAGATTGGAACGAACGTTATCATAATGATCATTACATAACGAATGATTATTTTTGTCATGTGAAACCAGACACAAGCAAAGCAATATCAGGTGTATATGATCAAGTTACAGGCATGTTACCTGTCATGGGTACTGTGAATATCCACGGTATCACACGTTTCAAATATCAATGGCGTCTCAACAATGGTTCAGAAACGTTGTGGAAATCCGTTCCTGATTTTACCAACCAGTCTTTGAGTCTCAATCTGAACCTGACAGATGGTGAAACATATGAAGTCTGGATTCAGGCCCAGGATATCATGCTGAACACCATAGTGGAGTCTGTAGTGGTGCACATAGACAGGAGTGTGGCTGATATTGCTGATACCTGGCTGCTGAGAGAGGGAACGAGTCAGATATACGTCCACAACAACACAGATCTTTCGACGATGGTTCTTCAGTTTCGAGCATGGGATGTCCACAGTGGGCTCAGATCTGTGCTATGGGCGCTTGGGACAACTAATGCGGCATCAGATTTAGGAAACGGGGCGCTTCCTGTCCTGAAACTACATGATCAGGTAATGCAAATTTGTCACTGTGGAAACAAATGAAATGGGATTATAGTGAAATGTTTTTTCTTGGGATTCATATTCATTTTATCTAGAGTTTCATTCTAATCGATGAAATCGACATTGCCTTATTTGGCTCTATCATGCATTTTCGTAACCAGGCAGATCAGATGTGTTAATGCAAATAATAATGGGCCATTTATATTGTGCATATTTCCACACCACACAGGGGCATGCTCAAAGCGCTATTATTACCCCAGTCACCTGATAAGTGTTCACTCAACAATCATTCTCAGCTCCCCGGGGAGTATACAGTCAAAACTGCCTGTTAGGCTCAGAAGGTTACAAACCACATTGCCGTCTCATCATACCGGGTACCCATCCACTGCAGGGTGAACACATGCACATTTCGAACTTAGTCACTTGCCCAAGGAGACACCACATGTGTTACATGTTCTTCAGTTAGGGGCAGGACCGAAGCCCTAAAAACTCTCAAGAGCCAATCTGCTGAAACGCAATCACCCATTCAAGGACTCAATCGACGTTTCTTAACTTTACCTGACATGTGACCTGTGCGCTGTGCATAGGACCATGTGTCACCATGAAATGGGAAAACATCTCTGTCCATGTCTGTCATGGACATTTTCTCCATGTACATACATCACATCAGACAACATATGGGGCATCACAGACATCCCGTATATTCAAAACTACATAATTTGTATCTTCTTTAGGTAACATGTGTAAGCTAATCTATATATTTCTGGTTTCAGGTGGACTGTCCACGAGGGCCAGATTGTTACTGTCCATCTGTTGGGCCTTGTGAATTCCAGAATTATACACTGAACTTAGGCAGCACCACTCTTAAAGCCAACAATACCAATACAGGACAACACAACAGAGAGTATTACTTCACCCTCTCCATAACTAATGAGGCCTGGCTAAAGAGTTTTGCTCACCTGGATGTGCTGGTTGATGAGTCTCCTCCTCGGGTTGGCGTTGTTCAAGAGGGAAGCATTGACGGTCCAGACATAGATTACACCAGTGAGGGACATGTACAGATCAGTTGGCAAGGTTTCATAGATCATGAGAGTGGTATCCGATATTACATCGTAGGGTTAGCAGACAGATGTCTTACAATTCATGAATTGAAGAAGCAAACAAATGCCAGTCATAACATCATTCAAAAAGCAACAACTGAAAGCTTATCCCTAGTTTTCCCAACAGAAGGTAGATATTTTACTTCACTTGTTGCCGTTAACAATGCTCTAGATTATTCTGTTGTTATTTGCTCAGATGGCATCACATTTGATCTCTCTCCCCCGATCATTGTAAACATCAGTCTCCACCAGGCAGCCTCTCTTTCAAGTCTCCATTGTATTGGTAATCACATATGGCTAATCAACTCTAACATGACAATGGCTAGGCTTCCAATGGTGACACGGTGCCTTGAACGATGCCATGATTACAACACAGATAGGAATTTGCGTTTTCCTACAGTACATGCAGGTTACATAAACAATGAGACAGCCGATAGTCTGTGTAGGGATCTACCATATCTGAATGAGACTGTAATGTATGTGCCGTTTCACAAGCTTGTTCTTAACTGGAGCATAATTGAAAGTGAAAGCCAGATTCGCGAATCCTTCATAGGGTTTGGGTATGATGTGTCCACATACAGCAAACCAGATCTGGCCGACTATAAACCTACCCATAGGAAAAGAAGTTTCCACAGTCATGAAACTGGTTTTGACAGTGGGACAGAGTTTTACATATTTATCAAGACTGAAAACAAGGCTGGTGTCTCGTCTGTGGCGACACTCGGTCCTGTGATGATAGATGACACCCCTCCAGATGTACACGGGACACTTGTACCAGAGATAGTTGGGGATCATGTCAGAGTCACCTGGACTAATCACACATTCTATGATCCTGAAGAACTACATCAGCAATTCACAGTTACATATCGAGCAGGTAGGCATCAGGTGCAGGTTTGAACGTACATCTCAAAATAGGTTGATGCATGCTATTGTATCCCAATTGCGTGGATCGATGCTCATGATGTCAATCACTAGATTGTCTTGTCCAGTCCCGATTATTTATAGATCTCCGTCATATAGCTGGAATATTACTTAGAGCGGCGTTAAACAACACACAAACAAACAAACAACATCTCAAAATATGGGCAGAGTTTGACCTCACTGTATTTGTCCCCCATACATGGCCACAACATTGCTTCAGTGTTGTTGCAATGGTTTGTCTGTCCATTAACTTTGGCATTAACCTAAAAACATCTGGATAAATATTTAGCAACATAAAATATGACTTTCGTCACATTCAGTTTTAATATTGAAAACAATGAAGAAACTCAACTTTTGAATAGCTGAGGTAACTGGCCCAGGACCACAATGTGATTTGGATTTATTAATAGAAAGGATTATACTATCATGTTTGCACTGTTTTGAAAAAAACACACCAAAAAACTTTCCTTAAAACCATCAAAAGTGATTATGACCATGTTCCAAGAGAACTGTAACGTTTGTAGGATATGTACAACATCATTAGGTAATTTCAAGAACATTTGAGAAGAAATCAAATTTAACTAAGTACTTTAATAAGTGTGTTTTAGTCTACACTCAAATGTTAACCCTTGTTGGCAATGTTTTAAGAATACTATTTCAATTTCAAAATGTACCAAGTTACTATTCATATATGTATATATAAAGTTCTTCTCTGGTTGCACAGAAAAATCGGATGTACCTGCAAGAAACTGTGTCTTGGTGAAATGTGTCACAAGTCATTTGATAACTGCATAGTATAGAGGTTGTATGATGTTTCTTACAGTTATGGAGCAGGACTATGTGACACCAATACTGCAGAGTCCTTCTGGGGCAAGTAAGATGTGTAAAGCTGAGGGACATGCTGGCTGTATTCAGTATCCACTGGTTCCCCTGCAGCACCAGGATTCAGAACTCGGAAAGACGTGTCTCTTTGAGTTGTATGTTTACAACTCAGCAGGCCACTTTACTACTGTAAGAACTGACTCAATCCGTCTTCCATCGCGGTTCCCTCCTGGTCCAGCTGTGGTCGTTGATGTAGATCCTTCGGATGTAGACTCCTTGATAGATGTGGACTTCTTCTTTAAGCAGTATTCTGCTTGTGCTCACTGGTTTGGATTCAAGCATCACAGAAACGTTACCTTTGAGATCGGCATTGGGTCATCAGCAGGTATGGATGACGTGGTAGGGTTCACAGTTGTCACTAGGCAGGATACCCTCACTGCCTGCATTAACTCGTCCTCTCTCAAATTGTTTGCAAGGTACTTCACATCAATACGAGCTAAATGTTCAGGTGGAGAGACTGTTTCATCATCAGATGGATTTATGATTGTGGCAGATGCCCCAAATTCCATCTCTGTTTTTGATGGTCCGACATGTGAACTGAATGAAGAGATGTTGGTTAACGATCTTGATTTACATAACCTTTCTCACCATATGATCGTTAACGTTACATTCGACAAGCCACTGCATCTTGGACATCACTATAGTGCTGTAGTTAAAAATATCACTACCTTAAAAGGATTCACATTTCTGTCCGACGATGTATTCACCACTGAAAGCAACGTGATAGATAATTCAACTTATCATGTGCAGTTTTTTCCTCTTACAACAATTCCATATTTCCAACTGAGTTTATCAAATGGAAGCAGTTTAAACATTTATATGTACAGATGTGTTCAGGATGTTGACTACCAGGTCTCAACGGCATCCTACACACTGCATTGGCAGGCTAATGGTGAATACCTGAATTTTGCCACCCATTACCATCTCCGCCTACTGCAAAGGACATGTAACAATGAATCTTCAGAAACATGTGTGAATATCATCAGAGAAACAACGGTTAGAGCAGGAAGGGGCATGGCACATTTAACTGAACTAAATCTGAAAACTGGACAGCATTATTTAGCTTCTATATCGCCTTGCTATGGACACATCTGTCTCTCAAGTGAATTGTCTGATGGCGTGATGATATCTGTACTTCCTGTGATTGGGAATATCGTCTCTGTAATACAGGATGAATCTGGAGATTGTACAAATATATCTGTTGAGGTAGCAAGTTTTGAGTGTGGAGAGTCTCGAAAGATATCACGGAGCTGCGCCATGCAGTGGGCAATCATCAAGTCAGAATCTGATTCCAGTCCAGTTACAACGTGGATGCAAGTCGACCCTGCCTCTTTCAATGTCAAGGTAGATAAGGCATTAAGTCTGATTACATATAATTGATATTTCAGTTACAAATAAACAGTGCACAATGCATATGCACATGACATATCTTAACAATCTGTGACTAGATTTAATGTATCATAAGTCATATCTCATTATGAAAAAGCTAATATTGAATTGTTGACTAAGTATTTCTTCTGATTTCAGACATCAAGATGCCTGAGGCTACCAATCCACTCATATCAAAAGCTGTTTACTTGTGTACGAGTGTTCTGCCCATCGGGGCAGTTTGGTTCTAAATGTGTGGAGCTGACATTGAACCCATACGCTCAGTCTTACAGTGAGCATGCACTGTTTGAACTACCAGCCGATGATCAACGTCTGGCTAATGTCGAGGATATTCTCCACAGTGAACGTCTTGGCACAAGGTTAAAACTGCTGCATGAGCTAGATGTTGACTTCATCAACCGCAACAGCAGAGTGAGTTCTATCATCACCAATACAGCTGGGCGTAACATCACATGGTTTATCATGAAAGGCATTCAACATGTTCCAGTGTATGACTGTGACTCGGATAAATCATGCCTGGCATGGCAATTTACACAAACTGGATTTGTCAGGTTCGGCTGGATAGACTTTGACGATGCTGAATTCTATTACATCTGTGCCAGTGTCAATGGAAATAAGGAAAAGGAATCAAGATTGGCTTTTACCATTTGTGGAAATGGATTTGTGATGGACAAGACTCCTCCTGTAGCAGGTTCTGTCAGTGTAACCAACACAGTATTAGGCTTTATCACAGATTCTTCACATATGTCCATCACATGGTCCGGATTCTCTGACAAGCAGCCAGATGGAGTCTTCTACGCCCACGCAATAAAATCATATTCAATTGCAATAGGTATGAAGCTGTTGAAACATTTTAAACATACTCAGTTATATATTTCATCTAAGGGAGAATGCAATGAATGGGAATGATAGCGGTGTAATAAAGTTCTGTTCTATGTTGTCTGTTTGCATTTGAATAAAGTTTAAAATTGAACTTATGTTTGAAGGCAACTATCCTCATGGTCAAAATGTCAAGCCATGGACAAAGATTGGTGAACGCACATCATTTCAAGCAGAGGGGCTTTCCATCAAGACTGGGGAAGTGTACTATGTCACCATCAAAGGTGATTATACTGAAGGAAATAATAGCCATATACCTTTTACATTGTATGATTTGTTTGTTTGTTGTTTAACGCCGCACTCAGCAATATTCCAGCTATATGGCGGCGGTCTGTAAATAATCGAGTCTGGACCAGACAATCCAGTGATTGACATCATGAGCATCGATCCACGCGATTTGGATCGATAACATGCATCAACTAAGTCAGCGAGCCTGACCCCCCGATCCCGTTAGTCACCTCGTACGACAAGCATATGTTTATGAACCACGATCTAATAGTAATGATAAAAGATCTTCGCGAAAACGACAATAAAATAAATCCGACAGTTCGACAATCTTGCAGAAATTCATAAAACTGTATAAGAGGTCACTTTAGAATAAGCTTCAGTCAGGAATATTATATCATTTGTGCATGTATACGCAGAACACCTAATCCATCAAACTGATTTTTTCAGCTGAAGATCATGTCGGTCATATGACAGAGAGTATTTCTCCTGAAATAATAGCCGACCTGACTCCACCTGTATGTGGTGAGATCCATGTTGAAGGACTGTTCCCGCACAAGAAGTTTTTGGGGACCAAGACACTTCACATCCACTGGAGAAATATCCATGACCCTGAAAGTGGCATCGAGTCCTTCCATCTAAATATGTTCACCCCAGTCAACACAGAGACGCTACATCTACATTTTGGCACTGGAACAAAATCTACAATCATTCATATTGATGATACATTTATTGAGGGAACTCTTTATGAAATTAGAATCAAGGTAACAGTAAGAATAGTTTTATAAAGCATATTGTTGAAGCTTGAACATCACCGTTGTTGCTGCACATTTCTCTTTGTCTTTCTTTAAATTATAGGCCATCAACAATGCCCAGCTTCAATCTCTCTGCACATCCAAGGCATTCATCATTGACAACTCCCGACCACTTGCTGGTGTTCTTCGAGATGGCTATGATGGCATTGAGGTGATGGTCTGTTTTAGTGTGTCACATTTCAATAAGAAAACTATAGCCCATCTCCAATGATAAATTGAATAGGCGTTTACTTCATTCACTTCACCACATGCTATTGAGGTACATTCTGCATTACATTCAGATACGTAGATTTATTCCCACTTCCCTTTTGTTTCCACTTTTATCCTTTCCGTTTGACAGATACTGGAACATCACTTGATTTGTTTATGCAGTTTCTTACCATGTCAATAAAATTCGTCATTTGTCATTTCTCTTAGAATGAAGTAGACTATCAAACAAGTATAACGGAATTGGGCTGCCACTGGACTGGATTTGACGACCCTCACTCAGGGATCCAGGGCTACAGAATAGGACTTGGAACTTCACCTGGGGTTTTGGATGTTCAGCCTCTTCTGTCTGTTGGACTTCGGACAAGTACGTATAGAACACCAAAGTTGTTCTAATTAACTGTTAATGTATTACATAGCTTCTGTTAACATGTGAACACACATGAGAGTATAATGTATATGAATAATGTTTCAGGTTATAACTGGACACATGCCTTCAACCCTGGAGTGAAGTATTACAGCACAGTAGAGGCGTGTAACAATGCAGGGCTCTGTGTTACTGCATCTTCTGATGGCGTTGTTATGGATGGATCCTCTCCTGCAGCTGGTGTTGTTATTGTCGGTCACACTGACACTCATAACAAATATCATGGTCACAGGTGAATTGATTCAAAAAAATTTATAGTGTATCAAGTGAGATAATTATTGTGTCAACTATATATTCACTCATGGATATCATCAAATGCATCAGCCTCCCTATCTAAACATTTTTTTACAAATGCAATTTGCAAAGGACAATAAAAGTGACAAAATCCTTTGTATATTTATATGAAGTCTCTTATAAAAGCAGTCCATTGTACGTTTCCGACTATATCATGAGCATGTGTTCATAAATCACTATCAAAAAGTCATGGTATCGGGTATTCGCGAAAAGGTGAACGTATCCAGCCAAACGAGTGACACTGTCATAAACACATGCAAAGGCAAGTCAATTGTCCACCTTTTAAAAGCTTTACCGAGTCCTTGAATGTTGTAACCTTGATCAAACAACTTCTGAGAAAGGGACGTATGGCGCTATTTGGATTAAATGTAGGAAGAGCATGCTCGATTGAACATGAAAAGTAAAAGGCTGGAGGAGCTGCTGCGAAATTGCTCCACATAAAGTAAAAGTTGAATAATGGAAAGCTTAAATCATCCTTCCTGTCATAAAGTCTTGGGGAGTGTTTGTCACTCTGAATCTCTACACATAGATGTAAATATGAACTGGACGAGGAGGCCTCACTTGACTACTTTATTTCTAGTCCAGGGAGGTTGATGGTTATTTAACGATTTCAGATCATTGGTAAACAGAAACAGGATTCAGTAATACTTCTTGGCCAAATTACCTTGTTTTGACAATCTGAGTAAAAATTCCGATTCCTATGCATAAAAAAACAGATCAGCAAGAATGAAGGCACAACTGGTGCGCATGGCAAAATCTACTTTTTGACTTTGTGGCTTACACCCAAATGTTACATAGATTTCACATATTTTTTTTTCATGGAAATTCAGAGGGTATTTGCTTTCTTTTTTTTGACAAATTGTCCTAAAGATAAATATTGATATCTCTGAAGATAGACATGTAAATATAGCTATGGTCACCATGTTTGGTGATAAATGTTCCATATATCAAGGAATTGGGTTTTTCGTTCAGGTTGGATTGTGGTGAACAAAGTTGAAAAATGACATGTTTTGACCGAGTTGAACTTGGTTCTTCTCTGACATTGCAAAAACTCAAGCAAATCCTTTGAATGTTTTAGAATAAAAGAAGACAGTTTCGTTGTCTTCCCATATTAGTCACGTTTATGCACAGGGGCAAGCGTTATTGGAATTCTTATGACCGACACAACAATAAAAATACATATTTATATATTTAATTGCAGATCATATGTCCACAGTAAATGGGTTGGTTTTGAAGATGCAGAGACAGGAATCCATCACTTTGAGTGTTGTATTGGACAGACATTACATTCTTGTGACATTATGAATTTCACAAACACAGCCCTCTCCGATTCCTACTTGGCAAGTGGGCTGCACCTGCCGGTTTCTGTTCCTCTGTTTGTCACTGTAAGAGCGTATAACCCCGTGGGTCTGTTTGTCGAGGCTGTCTCACCCAGTTTTGAAGTTGATGACACTGCACCAAAAGCCATCGACAGACCAGTGTTCATGTCAACAGCACCAGATGGACCCGACAATATCACTATACAATGGGATAACAGTCTCCTGTATTCGAAGTGGAAGTTCATTGACGATGGCAGTCCAATACATAAGCACATACTTACCTTTAAAACATACCACGAGTCAGCAGTAGCAGTAGAACAGATTACGTTAGGACCACAGACAAATCACCTACTTATTCTACAGAAAGATAAGAGACTTAGAAATGGAGATAAATATCAACTGTCAGTGACTTCTTGTAACCGAGCAGGGTTGTGTACAACCTCACACAGCAACGACATTCTGATTGATTCTACTTCTCCGATACTGGGAGGCTTTAAGCCACCACTAACGTGGCAAACCATGAGCATCAATGGATCCGAAGTAACATTTGTCAATCTGACCTGGTATGGCTTTTCAGATGCAGAATCAAACATTTCATGCTACCATATAAATGTGGGAACATCGTATGAAGGTGGCGAGCTAACACATGATACAATCACAGTCAACCATGATCCATCAGTGAAAGAGCAGTCAAGCACAATCCAGCTAACACAGACACTTCATGGCGGGAAAATCGTTTTATCTATTTGGGCTGAGAATTCTGCACTTCTACTGAGTCCAGTTGGTAAAGTTACCGTATCAGTCGTAGCAACAAACACCAAGACTGGACGTGAAGGAATACTGGAACTACAGCGCCACTCCTGTGACACACACTACTGCACTGACGACTGTACATGTGCTGTGGTTGAGCGGAAATGTAATCCACCTTCTACACCCGTAGACTGTCACGATATGTCTAATAGTACATCACACAAGCATCCGGATGTCCGAATATATCCTGGAGCCCGTAACCTATCTGGCTTCTATGCTATACCTTCTCTGTCTTGTATTGCTGGACATTGGGAGACAACATTTGACATACAACGATATGAATGGAGTATGGGGCTGCTCAACGAACCATTTGGGGCTGGAATATTTACAGCTGGTGAAAGTACCTGGTATGATGTTGGAAAGAGGACTGAGACTGTTCATTGTCTGCCATATGGTCGAGCTCTTGAACATGGAGAAGACTATGTAATCTACATTAGGGCCTGGTACTCAGATTCGGAATACAGAGTCTTCACATCCCCAAGTATAAGAGTCGACCACACACCCCCTTCTGTGAGAAGAGGGAGAGCGCTGAAGGACTCAGATTCAACGTGCAACAGAGACTTTGACATCTTCCACAGCAATCACAGTGACATAACTGCCTGTTGGCAAGGATTGTTCCAGGAAACGCAAACAAACATCGAGGAGTACAGCGTCTGGGCTGGTGTTACAAAATATGGTAAGTTCAATATGTGATTGGTAAATAATAAATACTGGTCGTTTTGGAGAAATATAGCAGTTTCGTTCATATTATCATATGCGTATTTATTTTCGTAATCTCTATAACAGCTTTTATTTTATCCAGGTACAGACCTGTTGCCATATCAGAGTGTAGGCCTGACCACAGATATCTCCTTACCCGTGGTAAATATGACTCATGGTACCAAGTACTATGTGGGCATTCGCGCCATCAACTCCCTAAACATGTCTGCCACTGTCATCTCAGACGGTTTTGTGGTGGATGCAGACATTCCAGTTGGTGGACACGTCTTCAACACTGAAAATCATCGAAGTAGACTGACACAGTCTGATAACTCATCTTTCGGTGTTTCGTGGCATGGATTTCAAGACCATCACTCAAGTGTGAAGCAGTATCATGTTCACCTGAAGGAGGACAACTCATCAAATACTGTAGCTAACGCCACATTGACACTCAGGAACTCGATTGTCTTTGATGCCTTGAATCTAGAACATGGACAAGTTTACACAGCGTCTGTAGTAGCAGAGGATTTTGCTGGACATCTCAGTAACGAAGTAACATCCCTCCCCGCGTTACTTGATGCGACTCCTCCATATGGATTTGTGTGTAATAACTTCACAAATATCACAATCACCAACATGACCTATGAGAAAAATGATCTTCCATCTGGTTTCCTGAATGTATTTAAAGTTGCTTTACCTCGAGACTCTGGTTCACATTATCGTGTGAGGGTTTCCATTCAGCGTGATCATCTTAATCATGAAGAGGCTCTGTTTTCAGTGAGTGGCATCCACATCCAGATCCCATTTGTTCTGAGATATAATCACACACTGTACTGTGCTGAATACCAGTTTACACTTGATGCAGAAACTATGCCCGTCTCAGCTGTTTTAGAAGTTACTATTCAGAGTAAAGAAACCTTCCAGGATGCAAATATAGAAATGGAGCTATGCACAGACAAAGAGAGAACACAAGGGTCAGATGCAATAACAACACGACAACTTACGCCCTCACTACTAGGTATCTGCACAAGGTTGATGGACCCTGAAAGCGGCTTAAAGAACATAGAGATTGGAGTTGGTACAACACCAGGAGGGTTTCAGCTACAGACCCTTCGCCGAGCAGAAGCTGGGTTCCACCAGTTGTTGGAGGTCACCGCCCCCCATGGAACGCCAGTTTATACAACAGTCATAGCTGAGAATGGTGCCGGACTGAGGACGCATTATCTTTCTGACCCCATTGTGCTCGACCATACTCCACCCACAATATCAGATGTAAAAGTCCTACTTTTTTATTCAGGTAGCAAACCTTCTGAAACAACACACGCATCTGGATCCTGGTCAACTGAAGACAAAGAATCAGGAATTGATACATGCTGGTGTGCTCTAGGTAAAGTTTGTGTTGTAATATATTCCATGTATATACTTGTGTATGCCAACACTATGCATAGTATTCCATCTAGATGTGTCATGACAACATATTGTTCTGAAAACGTGATATGTGTTTTTAGGTCACACGAGACTGGCATCTGATCTCCATAGTTGGGTTACTTCAGAGAGTGGTACATCCTGCCAGATACCTGTTCCACATCCATCCCATGGACTCCGACTGTACATGAACATTCAGTGCACCAACAACGTCGAATTGGGCTCGCTTGACGCATCAGACGAACTACAAATTCTCTTCAGACCACCATCGGCTGCTGGTAGCAGTGTTGGCTTTGTGGTGCAGAACAGCTACAGCCAGCATGGGAAAGATGTGCCACAATCTATTATGTCCTCTCTTGCTTTTCAGTGGACATGGCCAGACCGGGAGTCCGTCAGTCACTACCAGTGTCGGGTAACAGGCATTGAGGTATGGACGAACACCACCTTGAGGTACTGTGAGATGTCAAGCATGCAGCTGAAGGATGGGGAGAACTATACAGCTATGGTTCGAGCTGTAAACATGCGCCAGCAAATCAGTGAAGTAATATCAGCTTCAGTGGCTACAGACAGTTCAGCACCAGTACTGACAGGTACCGTTGAACCTTGTACCATCACTACATATAGTGCCAACACTAATCGTGCGATGGTAGCTAAGCATATGTTCCATTTTTAGAATTTAAGTATTCTGACTGAAGTAAATAGAGAATCTGACCCGAGTGTCTTTTGTCCGCGTGTGCGGCAAGCCTCAAAGCTTTTCCACGTTTATCAACTCATGTTCATATATTTGATATAAAAAGACACTAGGTTGAGATTTTATTTATCATCCAACATCATTCTTCCAACTTTTTCAATTTGTAGACAGTAATATGCAGGGTTAGAAACTAACAGTGTTTGTCCACTAGTCCCCATAATGATAACATATAGCAAAACCCTTAAAATTGGCCAATTTCTACTAGTCCTTAGGATACATTTACCTTTGGGCATTTTTGAAAGGCCTGCAGTACTAATGCCAATTTCTAACGCTGAATATGCAGTGGCTTAAGTGTAAAACGTACTGCTAACAGCTTCAGTCACAAAGCCATTAGTGATGTCATTTGATGCCATGGTAACAAATGACATCACAATGGTCTGCAAAGCATTGTGATGCATTTTCATTGCAGCGATATCTACAATGTAGATATCGCTTGGTCTCACCCAAGAGATATCTCCTGTGGGAGCCAGTTTTGGATGATAAATTACCATACACACATTTACAATGACATGAATACACTTTTTGAATTTACACATCATACACACCTTCGTCTCTATCAGTTTCATTCATGTTTATACACACAGGAAGGAACGCATTAGTTCATTGGAGCTCGGACAGTGTGACGGTATCCTTTGGAGATGTGTTTTATCCCAGAAGAAACCACCTCACCTACACCATCAGTGTGGGCTCCAGCATGGGCTACAGCGACTACATGCAGCTGTACACTACAAGTCACACTGACGTCACAGTCAACGTGCCGGGCACCATATCAGAGATTCATGCCACAATAACAGCCCAAGCACCTGTTGGCACATACGAATCCTATTCCGGTACTTTCACAAGGAAGTAATAATCGAGTTATTTCAGTGAATAGTTGTTTTGTATTAATCATATATTTTAGCACCAGCAATATAACATAGATTTGATTATTCTGTAGTTCTTGTTTTATTGTAATATGGCTGCTGTTCATAGTATATTGCGCCACACTACCATGTACTCGCTTATATTTAGATAACATATGTTGTAAAAAATATCCTGTTGATCAATGAAGAAACGCATATATTTATTGATGTCAGTGTGTGTGATCATGAATCGCCTGGGAAGAGTATCTAATCTGATGAATGTAGATGTGATTTACAAGAAGGTAAATATTTAGTGGATTGATTCTATAAACAGGATTAGAACCTGTCATACTTTGTAATTTCAGAAAATATATGTGTGTGTATCAAATCTTCGAATAATGTTTTACATAATTTTAATCATGATTAAAATTAAATTGAGTAACAGTTGGTTTCTTCCTTTTCTTAATTAGATTAGATATAAAGCTTCTTAGCTGGCAGGTATATCATAATGCGAGACAAACCCCGCATCTCCTCTCCCCTTCATTTCACTCAATGTGTTCTGCTGAAGACACAGCACGTCTTCGAAATCTGGAGAAACTTCACGTTTACATGTATATGACAACATGTCATTTCCCAGAAAAGTTTTCAAATGCAAAACTTGTTCGAGTTAAGTTTAAACAGATTCCGAAAAGCCCTCGATTGGCTTAGGTGCCACAATCTCTTCACGAAAACAGGAGACATGAACGTAAAGGGTGAGTGAGTGAGTGAGTTGGGTTTTAACGCCGCTTTTAACAGTGTTCCAGTTATATCACGGCGTGTCAGCTTGATGTGGGAGGAATGCCCAAAGTGATGCAGGTCTCAGACGTTTACCACTTCGTTGAAACCCACGGGCACGGGTATGGTGCTGACAAACCTAGAAACATAATCGGGGCGAACCGGGATTCGAACCCACAATCATAGGTTTCTGGCGTGCCCAAGGGACGCAACTCTGCACAGCGAATCGCGGCGCCTTAGGCGACTGGGCCACCCGTGCCCCCTGAACGTGAAGGGAATAATAAATCATTTGCAAGTTTTGCAGATTGGGTAAAATAGTAGATGCATTTAACTTGTTTGTCTCTTATCCGTTGATATGAGAAAACACTTCATCAAATATGACATTTTTCGTGATCCTCATATTCATGAATTCTAAATATAAGTGACAGCTGACTGATTTATCAAACAATTATCAAACATATATCCGTGTATAACTTTCATACCATGCGATTTAGGATGTTGATGCGGTTTCGGACTTACTTGCTTGAAACTCGGATTATGTTTGAGACATGGATTATCGGGTACACTTGCTGGAGCCAGCAATTCTCTCATTGTATTGATGTTTATGGTACATTGGAACCCAGTACAATGTACGGATGGGCATCACATTAGAAGCACATACCAGGACCAGACTGAATGGTCAACATTATTGTCGTAACGATTTATTCTGCCACTACGCCATAACCAAATTAACAGTAACTTTTCGGTAACTCTTAAACTATGAAGATGTAACATAGATCTATGTTAGTATGTCATTGTCAGTGCTCATCTCTCTAGTTTGTTGCAGAACTCAGGATTTGAGAGGAGAGGTGTTGCATAGCTAGGTGCAAAGCAAGTGTTGTTTGTTGTTTAAATCTGTACTCAGCAATATTCCGGATGTATGGCGGACCAGTGAATAAACTTGACCATTCGATCCCGTCAGTCGCCACTTATGACAAGCATGGGTTGCTAAAGACTAAATAAAACACTGATCTGCACGGGGTGCAAAGCAAATGAAAAATGGGTATTCAAGTAACACTATTCTGGGTGTATGTTATTTACTTAAACTCGGAGATTGAAATAGATTTTCAGAAGTATTATGATAACGCTAACGGAGAACATTTTGCCGAAGAGACATACACGTTTACATTGTACTTGGTGATACGTCTAACTGATAGGCAGAAAATCAGTGATGACAGCAGGTGTTCGCAGAAAGGGAAAGCATGTCCTGCCAAACCGATTCCAGTGCACGATAGTGTGTTTACTGATTTTGGTGAAACTAATAAAAACGCTGTGTTAATTTTGAATTACGTCTGCTTTGTACAAGTGCAGATATTATGCTGCTTACAAGTTTTAAAAAACATATAAGAAATGTATTCGTGTTGCAACACAATGACAGATTTTTTGTTTTAAACTATGTCATCTGGTTACATATAAAAGGGCCTCACAGCAAAATGTATCGACCTTTTTCATCTCAAATGAAGTGTGTTAAAATGACGAAATGGACCAAAGAGCATTTTATCAATATTGTCAAATATACAAAATACTGAACAATTAGTATGTTGTCTTTGTTTTCATACTATAACATTTGGCAGCAGAAATTCAAGAGTTGGCCAATCAACCCTAATTTAGTAAACGTCCAAACAGTGTTCTGGGCTGCCTTTATACTTGTGAGGAAGCGAAAATAGCCTGACGTTGCAAACAATTCTAGATATATGGATGGTATTGTGATACAGCTGATCAATTTGCTCCTACTGAATTAAGTAGTTTGTATGAATTTTTTTTATGATCTAAGCGTTATGACAGTTTTAACACCTTCACATCATCATATGCCAACAACAGCTCAGATGGCCTTGTGACACTGGACCCTTATATCAACCCGATGAACGTTGACGTCCTGCTAAGAGATTACACTGTAATGACAACAAATTACAACTAAATGAAATGTATACAGATTGAGGGAAAATCGGTGTTCAAGACACTTCCCAAGGCTTTTTGCCTGATGTGTTACTTGTTATTTTATCCAATCATCAAGTCCCAGCCAACACACGTATTTCTTCTTCTGGTTAGAACCCGAAATGCGAGAAGGCTTCCTAAGTTTCGACTAAGTGCCACCTTACTATGCTATATTATGAGGACCATCTCCGGGTGAGACAGGAGCTTACTGTTGTCTTTTAAGATAGAATTTGACATTACTTGTCTTTTTGAATATTATAAATTTAGCGGTGAGTGTGAAATACCTACAACACGAGACAAGCAAGCAATTTTCCCATTCCTTAATAATACATTTATATAGTATGTTGATTGATTATCGTTTTGTAGGTGAGGATATGAAGTGAAATTATATGAAATTAATCTTTATGATCTGACAATAAGGATAGAGGAAATGTACGTGATATTTTTGTTATCTATAGGAAGATTAAGCCCTAATTGTATAAGGACGCCCGTGCTTGGTGTCGCCTGTTATGAAAAGTCGAGTGGCTCTAAACCTTGCTCACTCACTTGAGAGCATGTGTACGGATTTACACTATTGATTGTACAGCTATTCAAAATATATAGTCAGACCAAACGTTCGCTATGGGTTTTTCATATTCCTAAAATCTTAAATAAAATCAGATTGAAATAAATAATTTTCAAAGTAAATACAATGTCGCCCTTATATGTCAGAATCAGAAATAGCTTTAGTTGTATTTAATACTTATAGTGAGTGAGTGAGTGAGTGAGTGAGTTGGGTTTAACGCCGCTTTTAACAGTATTCCAGTTATATCACGGGGTGTCAGCTTAATGTATGAGGAAAGCCCGAAGTGATGCAGGTCTCAGACGTTTACCACATCGGTGAAACCTACGAGCACGGGCATAGTGCTGACAAAACCAAAAACATAATAGTGGCGAACCGAGATTCAAACCCGAAATCATAGGTTTCTGGCGTCCCCAAGGGACTCAGCTGTGCACAGCGAATCGCGGCTGGGCCACCCGCGCCCCCTGATACTTATAATAGAAAAAGAAACCCGTCAACGCCAGAGAATTATTAGTCAATATAATCTGCCGAGAATGATTCCATTTGATATAAAAGGCACAATAAGGGGGAAACTTATATGCATGGGTACAAGGCGTTAGCGAAAAGGGTAGGCATGTCCTGAACTTGAAGAAACGTTCTAACAAAATGACATCGTTTCGTTATGCCCGATCGTATACTATCGTATATGAGCAAAGTTTTTAATTTTGAAAAGTGATATAAACGTTTTCACACACGATGAGTGAGTGAGTGAGTGAGTTTAGTTTTACGCAACTTTAGCAATATTCCAGCAATATCACGTCGGGGGACACCAGAAATTGACTTCACACGTTGTACCCATGTCGGGAATCGAACCCGGGTCTTCAGCGTGACGAGCGAACGCTTTAACCACTAGGCTACCCGACTGCCCTCATACACCATGAAACAATTTCGTTTCATACATATATTCCAAGTATTGAGGATCAAATTGCAATCTCTTACGCTAGTGTGGTTCAATTCATAAACAATATAAATGAGAAAATGAGAGATCTTTCAGTTAGAATTAGTTTTGGCATTAGATGTCGATGATGACTTTTTTAGTTGTGTTTACATGTTTACGTGAAATTCAGTTACATCATTCCCTTATTTGTTTCTAAATAATCCAAGCATATTATGTGATTATATGAAAACACAACATGTCCTTCATACTCAATAGTTTCTCGGGTACATTGTAATTTACGAGTATTATCTTATTTGAACAGGCTAGCTTCAGGTAGATAACAATATAGTCTATCGATTTACTTTGATATATTGATCCATGTCGCCTCGTGTTTCACGCAAACGTCAACACATTATTTATCTTGTGTCTGGCAACTGACGTCATTGCATGACCCCAGTGACAGGTACTGATTTATTGCTCCGGTGTGTGTGGTGCACTGCCATGTTGATCGTGAACGTCTTGTTGTTAACTCTTTATGCTCAAGTATGTTGACCAGCACATGTGATAACCCTTATAAGGATTTAAAAGTTAAAGTTTTTCCTACTCGTCACTAACATTATACAGGCGGTGGCGTAGCCTTATGGTTATTGCGTTCGCACGCCACGCCAAGACGCGGGTTTGATTCTCCACATAGGGTCAATGTGTGAAGTCTATGTCTTGTGTCCTCCGTATGATATTGCTGGAATTGTGCTTAAAATGGCGTAAAACCATATTCACTCTCTCACTCACTACTAAAATTATCGTTTTTTAATATGATAATTAAATGTTGTATAAGATGTCATTATCTTCATATTCAAGCCTACAAAAAATATGGCTAAATATCTAGGACAATATCAAAGCGAAATAAGATTGAGATAGTTACAAGTTTATCTCCATCTGAAAAAAAGGGAATCTTCCAAACGAATACAGGGTGTTAAATTCAGATCACAATGACAAGCATGTGAAGCATCATCGACGGAATGGTTGATTTAGTTATTTAACAATTAAAAGGACATTTATATCATGCATGTCAACTGGGAATGTAAAGAGTGTGGCAATGTGTGTGTATCAGAAATGCATCATAAAGCCATTTACACACACATATGTTGAGCAGTATCGTGTACATGCACCATGCTCTCAATATTATATAATAATGTAAATAAAAACGGCATTCCACACTCGAATGAAATCTCTGCTAAAATGACAGCCCATTTGACGAAACTGACTGTATCATGCGCATGTGTTTATGAATCACAATCAAATACCAGGTGTTGGCGAAACGGTGAGCTTATCCAGTCCCACCGGTGGCACCTAAAGGTGTGGGGTTAATTTCTTCCTAATAGCAACAATCACTGGGGTGTCTGGACCAGACTTGTTTATTTACAGGTTTTCGTGATATGGCTTGAATGGACTGAGACGTTAAATAACGAAGAAATATAGAAGACACGTACCTTCATGAAATCAACAGATTAAAGGTTAACGCATCAGCCGATATATCATGCACTTAAACTTGACAAAATACGATAGATTTCTTACTGATATTTGATATTGTGTCATAAACGAAGCCTTATGATACAGTGGGAAGTGTGCACTGGACAGGGATATATTAACATTTGAAAATAGGTTTTGTTGCTTATATTTAGGTGAGTAAGTGGTTTAAGTGATAGGTCACTTGGCAGTATTTCAACCACTAAGAACGGTTGTTCACAGCTTGTCCAAAGAGGTGGTCGGGTAGCCTAGTGGTTAAAGCGTTCGCTCGTCACGCTGAAGACCCGGGTTCGATTCCCGACATGGGTACAATGTGTGAAGCCCATTTCTGGTGTCCCCCGCCGTGATATTGCTGGAATATTGCTAAAAGCGGCGTAAAACCCGACTCACAGCTCGTCCGTTGTTAAAATAACCTGTGAGACGTCATATAGGACCATTCTAAATTGAAGATGGAATTGAATAGTGTACGCTTTAGACATATAATATTTCTGACGTTCTTAGTTTAACAAAATATTTAAAGATATCTCTACTTTAAAATCACAGTATGTTTTGTTTTGTTTGTTTGTTGTTTAACGCCGCACTTAGCAATATTCCAGCTATGTGACGGCGGTCTGTAAATAATCGAGTTTAGACCAGACAATCCTGTGACTGACAGTATGTATATCCCCCTAAGCTTGCTTATTATATCCTGTTCCCCTAATTGTGGCATGTCGTAAAGCCAAGGGAGTGTTCAACATTTACTTGTAACGTTTAAATTGATGTATGATACAGATGTATGTGAACAGGCATGTAGTAAATATTGAGTTGCAGATGGTTGTTCATAAAATATTGCCTAATGTAATGTTCCGTGCTTGATAAGAACACATTCACATTGGAGAGGATATTAGTGTACACCACATCTCAACTTGATATTGAAAATGTGTTTGAAGTATTTTGCTGTGCAGACGCATGTCATTATGCAATCTATACAACAATGTGCAGCCTGCAGTTTAACTCTTGTCGACAATCATACGGTCTTTAAATACGTCATTGTTTCATTTAGATATAAGACAGATGCTTGTGTGCTCTTCATCAATAACGCACTTTACAAGATGGAATCACTACCAGAATGCATTCATAATTTCATACCTGAGCTGATTTAACGGAACGCTGTGGTGTTAGTGAGTGAACAATATCGTTGTTACACTGTTTCGATATTTAGCACATGCATTTTTAATTTACAAGGCAGATTTGACATTTGGAGCACTTTATCAAAAGCCTTGATTCAATTTTAAATGAACTGCCAACAGAGGAATGTTTCGTTTTCCGTCTTCCCATGTCTAACAATACGTGATTGACGTATTCAAGGTGATAACACTTTACTTTCCTTGTCGCCGTTTGATTTCTAAGATTACACAACGATAACATGCACAGCGTTTGCCCAAGACAAACCCGTGCATAACAGCAAACTAAAACAGTCTGAACGTATGCACGAACACATTGACATGCGAGTGACACTGTACGAGTGACATTTCAGACATTAATTCGAAAATGCCGACACTGTTATTGGTATTCATACTTGCAAGACTTGCGGCCAACTCTGCTTGTGGAACATGTGTGGCAGACTGTGACTGGAGTGTGGGAGAGTGGGGAGAATGCAGTAGATCATGTGGCGGAGGGTATCAAACCAGAAACAGGACCCTGTGTTGTCATGACAACGAGTCTACAGAAACATGCCTGGAGAGATGTCACAACAAGTCCTATGCAGGTGCCCCAGACACCCACAGAACGTGCAACAACCTTTGTCTGAATGGAGGGAAGTTTGACGACAATACTGGTCTGTGTTGGTGCAATCAGGGATGGATAAGTACATGCTGCCAAGAAGGTAAGACAAATACTTTAATTTTCTTTAGGAAGTTAATATATATTATCTGTAGTTTCTCACTACTTATACTCAACATGACTGCAGTGAAATAAGCACTTGGATATGTTCTTCTTAAAAGATAAATTACAACGATATCACACCCCGAGTCTGCACACTACAAGTAGTAAAAAAGCGTGGACCTGGCCTGTTTCTCTTTGCTCCTTTTACTCTTAGTTAATTTATAAGAGGATACACATGCAGACATATTATATATTATATAAACACCTGGAAAATGGTTAAGCGCCTCTGAAAAGGTTAATCAATGTCGCACGACCGCGAATGTAATTGGTGAAATTATTTTGGTAATGACACGAACTGATAGTTAACTATCCATAGTTAAGATGTGAATATTTGTTAGCGGTTCTTTCGCGAACTGCACGTGCATGTAGTACGTGACTTGTTAAAAACGCACTATCAGTTGACGCTAAATCCACGAAAAATTTGAAATTCTGAAATGTAGTCTTAGTTCGTGTTCAACATGACTCGTTGGAGGTTACTTGACAACAACGGGTGGCGAAATGCATTCTTAATTCAGGGTGTGGCCTTTCAATCTGTTAGTTGTCAGCTCAGTTATCACCATTTGGTTATGAACAGATTGGCCCAGAAACATCGGCAAACGTAATCACGGACATTGATAAATCTACTTGAGGTCAAGGTTGGTTGGTTGGTTGGTTGGTTTGTTGTTTAACGCCGCACTCAGCAATATTCCCGCTATTTGACGGCGGTCTGTAAATAATCGAGTCTGGACCAGACAATCAAGTGATTGATATCATGAGCATCTACCCACGCAATTGGGATTGATGCCCGTGCATCAACCGAGTCAGCGAGCCTGACCACCCGATCCCGTTAGTCGCCTTTTACGACAAGCATAGTCGCCTTTTACGGCAAGCATGGGTTGCTGAGGACCTATTCTACCCCGGAATCTTCACGGGTCTTGAGGTCAAGGAGGCTGATTAAATGCGGCATGGAGTTTGTCGAGGCGTGGCTGGAACCTGAGGACAATAAGGAAGATCCACTTGTTGGATGAGAGCAGGTCCTTGTTGCGTGTCGTGTTTGGCGGCAAAGAAACACGGCATACACGTTTCCAAAACATTCGTTCAAAAATCAGTCATGATGTAAGGTTTCCTGTCCGATAACTGCAAGCTTGACATGATCATTGTCCATTAGTGTTGGTTGGTTGGTTCGTTGTTTAACGCCGCACCCAGCAATATTCCAGCTATATGACGGCGGTCTGTAAATAATCGAGTCTGGACCAGACAATCCAGTGATTAATATCATGAGCATCGATCCACGCAATTGGGATCGATGACATGCATCAACCAAGTCAGCGAGTCTGACCACCCGATCCCGTTAATCGCCTTTACGACAAGCATGAGTATGGTTTTACACCGCTGTTAGCAACATCCCAGCAATATCATGGCGGGGGGCCCTAGAAATGGGCTTCAGACATTGGACCAATGTGGGGAATCGAACCTTTGTCTTCGTCGTGACAAGCGAACGCTTTAACCACTGGGCTACCCTACTGCCCCTGATCATTGTGCGGGGGAATCTGACTTGTGACATGTACAGGCGTCACATCCTGATCCGTTCGTTCTATGCCAATTACTAACCAGAACCATCCACAGGGACAGAGCGAGACAACATCGTTCCTCCAGCTGAACGCCATCACGACCATCCCTTGGTTCGCCATTAGAACAGATGGAACCCAATGTAACATCTGGGCCATTCTATAGCTAGGGTGTGAGATACAGAAGCTCGACCCACCAGTTGCCATGAACACACAATGCCACAATCTTTGTGTGCTGGCGATTAGGTGCCTCACTCTGGCAGTGTGGGTTTGAATCGCGGACGGACTCAACTTAAAAGTACTAGAACCTGTACTTTACACAGAAAGTGTAATCCCTAATATAACATTTGTTACAAACTATAGTTGCTTGATATTAATAACATTAAATAGTATTACTCTTGTTGATTGACCAAACAACAACTCTAATGAAGAAAACAGCCTCTAGTTTTCTTGATGTTTAATTACATGTTTTATTGCGCATTGTCTAAACAACAATTAATTAATAAATAAAAGCGACAAAATCCTTTCCATATTAATAAGAAATTTCGATTGTAACAGTCGATTGTACGATTCCGATAATATCATGAGAATATGTTCATGAATCACTATCAATAGTGATGATACCAGGTGTTCGCGAAAAAGTGAGCGTCACAAACACATCCAAAGGCAATCCTCTTTTTGACATAAGTTACAAGTTAAAATAGAGAATAGCATCGGATATCACGTTCGTCACTGTTGTAACCGTGATCAAGTAACTTCTGAGCAAGAGTTGTATGACACTCTTTGCAATTATCGTTGAAAGCGCATGCTCGATTGTACCTCAAAAGTTGTGAAATGTAGACACCAAGGGCTGGAGCTGCAGGAATATTGCTCGACATAAAGTGAGTGAGTTAACTGACCCATGGTAAAGGATCAGGATCCTTTACACTTTATAACACATACGCACGCCACTGTACGTTACAAGTAACGAACGACACATTTTTCTTATTCACGAGAGGGTCGAAATGACATAAACCCTCCCTGGCTATTTCTATATTATTTGGGAATTATTTAAGTCCCTGGAATTCCTAACCAAGAATAAACATGGTTCGTTGTTAACCACCAGACACTTCAATCTTGTAAGGGTTTGTTTTACCTCACGATTGTTTGTCTGGCGTTCGTCACACATATACTCACACGCAAAAGAAACGCAAGTGGTTTTAAGCAAATAGGTAACAAACACGGAACCATAAATTGATACGAGTTTTAGCATGTAGTGAAGCCTGATGGTATTATCAATATTTTTGGTTGAATTGTGGAAGCCCCGAGTAAAAACGCAACATAAAAAACGAATCGCCAAAACGCACCATTTTAATGAATATGTGGGTATCATGCATCTATTTCTCGCGAAATCGAGAATGCACGAACTGTCACGAACTGTAGTGGGTATAAAACTGTGGCCGATTCGATGACCTACCACTCCTACAATGCCACGCCTAACTCAAAATCAGAGAAACCAGGCTATCGGACGTTTGGAAGCTGGAGAGTCTATCATTTCAACGTTAACATAACCACAATTTACCGTCTCCTGCATCGATACAATGCTACCCAGACCACAGATGACCTTCCTCGGAGCGGTCGTCCTAGGGTCACCACACCTCAACAAGATCGGCAGATTATCCGTCAACACCAGCGACATCCGTTCCTAACTGCAAGTGAAAGTGCTCGACAGACCATAGGAACACATAATCGACACATTAGCCGGGACACTGATCCGTTCCAACAACCTCAGATGTCGCCGACCAGCACGTCGTCCTGTTTTCCAACCACGGCATCGACAAGCACGACTTCAGTGGGCACAGGGTCATCACAATTGGCGTCATCATGAGTGGGGGCGTGTCATCTCTGATGAAAGTTGCTTTTGTGTCTCCAATGCAGACGGAAGAGTCAGAATTTGGCGGCGTCGAGGTGATCGTTTCGTACACTTGTGGGATGAGGTTCAAAGGCGTCTGCACAATGTGCGCCCAGTCCCTACAACTGCCGATGAACTACGCACAGCTGCTCTGGTTGTGTGCAGGAGGATCCCTAGGGCCTTCACAAATCGTCTGATCCACCCAATGTACAGGAGATGTGTGGCAGTGATCAATGCTAATGGTGGTCACACCAGGTATTGACTGACATTTTGGGTATTGACCCGAAACTGTGTAAGCCCTTAACATTTGAAAAAACAACAATAATGCCATCTGCCTTTTAATCCATTATACTGTCTTCAGTCAAATTTTTGTCAATCTTGCCCTATTATTATTTCTTGTCTTTACTGTTGAAAATAAATAACATGTATACTGCATACTCGACTTTGCGTGTGAGTATATATTTCAAGCGCAATAACATACTTTTCACTGTTTTAAACGCTGTCTATAAACCACCAGAAACCAAAGGGACTATGGCGACAATAAATACCAGAAGATAAATGACAGAGTTAGTTTTAATACATTGTAAGGATATCCTCATAATAAACTAAACTTGTGACGCACCCTTTAAGCAAACAAGCATTTCATATAGTTGATATGTTTCAATACGATGGTATAAGATTAAACTGTATTGCCTTTATTTTAATCTTATTTATTTAGAGCACGTAAGATTCTATTTAATGTTTGAAGTTGATTTAAATCATAGTGCCAATAAATGTACTTGATGTAAATCGTGATACTAATGGACTGTTGATTTACCGATCTAGGTTGTTCACTTTACTAAGGAAATGTGATTTACTTGAATGCTTGCAATCTCAGAAAAGAACCAACTTCACTTCTGTCAAGACGTTTGAGTTTTCAACTTTGAACATGACAAACTTAAGGAAATACTTCACTCCTCGACTCACTGGGCATTAATTACTAGATGTCGGGACAATAGATATAGTTACATAGTCTATATTCCGTGGTTCAGGACAATTAATCAAAAATAAATGCAAATGTCATCTGAAGTTTACTTAGAAAATACTATGTGAAATGCTGGACTTCCTCAAGTCAAGACAAGAACAAACAAGCAGGTCATGACATAAACTTTACTAATTTCCCTGTAGGTATGGACAGTTTTAACATAGGACCCGTTAAGATCCGGGATAGAATAGGTCTTCAGCAACCCATGCTTGCCGTGCAAGGCGACTATGCTTGTCGTAAGAGGCGACTAACGGGATCGGGTGGTCAGGCTGTCTGACTTGGTTGATGCATGTCATCGATCCCAATTACGTGGATCGATGCTCATGATATCAATCACTGGATTGTCTGGTCCAGACTTAATTATTTACAGACCGCCGTCATATAGCTGGGATATTGCTTAGTGCGGTGTTAAACAATAAACCAACAGCAACAGTTGTAACATAGAAAACTATCTATTCAATGCCAAATTACCCATTGTTGTTTCAGCTTCTACGTCCTATAAATTCGCTTGCAGCGTCTCCACAAGGAAAACATATCCGAAAATACTTTCTCAGGTAATTGAACACTGTTTTCAATCCTGTGTTCTTGCATGCTGGTGACATTTGTTTTGAAGATACAAGGATAGTATTTGTTGTCAATGATATACACTCGCGTCGACAGACAAATAGATTCGAGCCTTTTTTGCATATTCAATGAGAACAAATACAAGAAGCATTGTCAATGAAATTTTCATGGATATTAAGAAAAAGAAATCCATAGGTAACTTCTGCCTTCATGACCATTGTGTTGCCAATATATTTACAGGTAGCAGGTGAACCAGAGTCTGCTGCTCTCAGTAGATTCCATGTTGTGAAAGCACAGCTGGCGAATGAACTTTTCACTGTGGAAACTTACATACCCCAGGAAATTAATGTAAGTACTAATGCAGCTACATATTTTATTGAATAATAATAAAACCCTTTCCATAATCATTAGAAATGTCTTTCTAAGAGTCCATTGTACGATTTCGACAATATAGTAAGCATTTGTAAATTATGTACTGCTGATGATACGCATTCCCGATAAGGGAAGCATATCCTGCCCCACAGATGGCACCCGTACAGAATAAACACAATGAAGGACAAATTTACTGTTCACCTGAAAGGCGCGGGAACGTTATGGTAGAAGTCAAAATAGGGAATTGCATCGGACATCATTTTAGTCACTGATGCGTCAAATTTGAAAATGTCCTTCACGTATGTACAATTATACGTTTTCAAAGCCTGTTAACGGGCCTAAATATTGCAACATCGATCAAACAACTTTTGAATAAGAGTTGCACGACGTTCTTTAAATCTTGGTGGAAAGAGCATGCTCGATCGTATCTCCAAATTTGTAAAATAAGGACACCAACGGATGAAGCTGCGGTAATATGTATGTACATAAAGGGAACGTTGACAAAAGGAATGTCTTGTGGCCAGTTTTTGTCACCCTTAATCTTCATGCATACATCTAAGTATGAAACAGATGAGGTGGTGTGGCTGGCGAATTGACCATTATTTAATTATATCTGATCACCTTTCTAAATGGCATTCTGTGTTCATACCTTTAAACCTGATGCTTATCATACACATCTTGGCCAAGTTCCCTTGTTTTGTGGGGGCTACTTCTTGCTCAAATGTCTTATGTTATCCATGAGCATGTCCATCATTTCAAATATCGTTTCTTATTCCATTTTAGATGACAATTGCTTCCATTTCTCACAACTTATCCTTAACCTTTGAAGATACAGCTTTGGTATGTTAACAGGCAACCTGATCCGAGCCTATGCTTTGTTCTATGGTTAACCGATATTTGAGGTTTCGTGTTTTCTTCACAGATAGTCCTGAGATTATGCTCACATAATGTCTACAGTAAAGATGGGTGCATGGTGGACCACATGTCTACTTCTCGGGACTTACTTCGTAACAGAACTGTAATCTACAATGGGGGATACCTTGGTGAAATAAGGAGCGTCTTCCTCGAGGTGAGGTGTACTTAGTTATATGTGTTAAGATGAGGTTCGCATGACACTACACATTGAAATCACAATTGGCTTTTCTCCCATCTGGAAAGCCAGTTAGATAACTTTTGCCATTCCACTGACATTTTTATGCCAATGAAACAGTTTTAAAAATGAAACAAGTGGAACTCTTTGGTAGTATCGGAAGTGACCAATGACAAGAATCAATATGATATGCTTTCATTAACTCAAACCATAATTAGGTCTACAATACCTAAACCACGTCAATAAGACACATCACATGGATCATGTAAGCATTATTCAAACAGCTATCCCTAGAGAAAATGAAACACCACCATGATGACTTCAAAAATAATCTCTGTATAGAAAGTCGAAGCATCGTAGTATGAAAGACATCACGTCACAGTTTGTGAGACTGTTTTGCCAAAACCTAGGCTTTGTTGCTGCCACTGTCACTCGTAAATAAGCGGCCGGTAATTTGATATGCTTGGGTGGTGGGGGATTATATGAAAGCAAATATATTGTCCCCGAAAAAATAATTCTGCTTGAGGCTGTTGAGAAAAAATAAATTTACTGCCACAAAAATGACATTGTTGCAAGTTATTTTTTTCTATAAGCATCTAGGGTCATAGGCTTAATTACTGGGTTTTGAGATGTAGCTGAACAAAATATCTTATCTCGAAACTGTGTACTGTGTACCAATAACAATAATACATTGGCTATTATTCATGTCTGTTAGCCAAATGCCGACTGCTGCATCCGTTATGTAACACGTGTTATTAAGATGTAGCGCCCAATGTATAAGTGTATTGTTTATTGACAATTAATAGATTTAAACTTGCAGGTTTCTCAGAAGGAAAGACTGGTAGAGTATGAGTGGGTCCCAGAACACCTCGATGTGAGTGACCAGTATTCACACTTACACTGTTCAAGAAAGATGTCACATATTCAGCATCCCAGCATTTTTCGTCACCGACGATGGGCCAGTCGAGGTAATATATGTATACCTGAACTTCCTCTGGTTCTTTAAAGTTGTATGTTTGTAAAACTTATAACAAGGAGAGGAATAATATACTCCTAAAAAAAAGAGACGCAAAGCCAGAATGTGTGAGATAGGAAAATACATTTATACAAGGAACCGTACAAGGTATTGAGCAAAAATGTTGTGGAGAGAACACTTGGTGATTGTTGCCATCTCAGGTATAGGTACATAGGAAACGTCAAAGGTAAAAGGTCAGCTACGATCAATAACGCTTATGTCCTCCGTTGGCTACCCCCACCAAACCTGTCCACTCCATGAACACAGTAACTTCCGGCGTAACGATCTCCCCGATCTGTACACCCGTGCTCTCCAATCCCCTCGAAGGAGGAGAATTCTTGAATCGTCGCTGAACCAGAAATCTTTACACCGCAGTTAAAGCAATACTCTGTTTTGACGACGTCAATGCAGTCGTTGTAGACGATGTTGTTGACTCAATATGACGCGTCAAACAGGACGTCTTGCTGGTAGACCTTCTTAAACGGTTTCATACGGTCTCGTGGGAGAGTCTGTGCAGTCTGGGTATTGGGATTCGGTTGAGGTGGCTGTGGTCGTCCATTCACGCAGGTGGCGCAGTCTTGAGCGGGAGTGGTAACTCTTGGTCGACCGACCTTGGCCGATCATTTGTTGACCCATGCTGCTGAAACCACCATTGTGATGATGCTGGACGCAACATTGAAAACCCTGGCTACTGCTGATCGGGATTCCCCTGCCTGCAAGCGGCTTATGACGTTGTTTCTTTGCACTTCTGTTAATCTTGGCATGTTGTTGAACTGTCACTATTCGATTGACGCAGATGCTACGCAATAAGAAACCCTGCAATTTAAGACCGACAATAGTGCTGCTGCATGTGCAGTACGTGCAGATCCATGTCCCTTTTGTTAATGAACATGGTGCGTTTTTCCGAATCGTAAGTGTTACCCGACAAATGGTTTGCATGTCCTTGTTGTGATCATTTTGACCGGTAAATTTGTCACTGACACCAGAACACATTAAACCGCTTCATTTTGCACCTCTTGGTCCGTTAATCTTGCTTTTATTGCCAAAATTATCCGTATTGCGTTTCTCTTTTGTTGAGTAATATTTTTCTGGTTCTAATTGTGCTTGCTGTATGCAGTCTAACATCCTTTTCCCATACAGCTGCGAAAAGTCGTTTAGCATAATGTTGAACTTTAGATAAAGGATAAACCTGCTAAGGAGAAGGGAAGCAATGACACACGGCTACTACTATAGATCAAATAATATAGACCCTAAGCTAAATGGTGTACCGTAAAACATGAACCTTTCACGAGTAGCAACTTGATGCAAGATGAGAGATAATTGAATTGACATTTAAGTACCCATTGCAAGATGACAAACTTATTAACTGATCAAGTGCATTAAAATAAAGTCATCCTTCGTATACATCAACAATACAACAGAGTACCATGAGATCCCGGTATACATTATATATGCTCGACAGTACATTCAAAAAGAAAATTTCAAATGTAATACAGGGGAATATCATTCGCGGTCAGAGGCCCGTTGTAATTAGTACCAATTGTGAAATTTTTACCTTGCCACACTGACGGGAAGCAAGTTCCATTTATACCTGAACATTACCATTTTCTTACCAGATCTTCAGATTCTTATCCAAACAAGTGACAGCAACTATGCTGGTACTGATGCCACCGTCAGTATGATAATTTACGGTGACAAAGGCAGCTCACGCAGCATGGACATGGATGGAAGTTTTGAGAGCGGAGATGTTGATACAAGTATGCGAAGTATCAATGAAATAGGAAGAATACGCAGCATTAGGTAATATATAACTGTTACTGTGTAAACAGATTATGAAAGCTAACTGAAACGTTCGTTCAATTCTTGGAAGGCAAGCTTTACAAACTAATGACTGCTCCTTTGCGAAAACGAGAATTTGACACTGGTGAGAGAAATTGCTTAAAAGGAAAAAACTGAGAAACAAGCTGTGATTAAATACCGGGTAAAGAGGACAAGGCACCAGAAGAAATATACGAAAAGATAAAAGTCACGCTTGGGGATGACTGCCCACCAAATGTAACTGATCAATAAAAACGACAAAACTCTTTCCATAATCACATAAAAGTGCATAGAGCACATTACTAATTGAGCGTAATGCTCCAGTTTGTACAGGTGGGAGGGACATTCTGAGTCGGTACAGAGCGTCATACATAATTACAGTACACAAATTACAAATGAACAACGATGATATGATTCTGTTCCCAACACTTGAGTGTGTGTAAGAATAAAATGTGGTTATGCTATTCTTTCACCTATAATACATCAATGCTTCCCAAGCAGGGACACAATAATGCCCAGAATACAAGGAGATCATACCAACCTATTCACGTGAACACTGGCAGTCCGTCGACACACTATCTATGTCTATATCTAAGTCTATGCTGTAAACATGGGCTTATTTAGTTACCCGTGATCAGACAGTCAGTCACAATGACATACGATATTCCAGAAGCAATCCAGCATACTACTCTTACTCACACGTTGTTTTATCAGGGTCACAGCATGCAATCGCTTAGTAAAGTTTTCACAATGTTTCAAAATAGACGCATCAGTGTTGGATTCAAACGGTGAGGCAGGATAGTCTCGCCTTAGTGTACACCTGCTGCCATCTCCATTGCGCAGTTAAAGATAGTCGAACAATGGAGTCTGCTGTGTGTCGGTTTTAGTTACCAGTAAGGACCAGAAATGTGCCACAGCTGATGCTCTTTTGGCGGTGGGGCCTAATAACGTTGGGGTTGTTTTGATTTTTGTCAAATGATTGGTTATAATTATTACTTCAGTTATCGTTTGTTTCAGGATATGGCATAATAACAGGGGGACCAATGCTGGCTGGAAATTGGACTGGGTAATATTTGTATTGTATTCTTAGCCTCCTTGAGAGTTTTTATTAACACCCGCTTGTGAATAGTGGTAGGTTTGTATCCACATTGTTGCATCATTGCAAAGTTACTTGTATTAGGAGACAAACAAGGTTTGAACTATGTGTATAAGTTTTCTGGCAGGGACGTTTAGGAGCTCTTCCACGACAAGATAGCTTTGTGTTTTTATGCACAAGATCAAAGGAAAATGACTTCACCAACAAATAAATGTTGCATGGTATTGTGCATATAAAAGTATGTGACATATAGAATGTTGCATTTCGGCACTGACAAAACACTTAACAAAACATTGTGAAAACTACCTGCATGGCCCGAGAAGGCTTCCGGGAAGTATTAGTACCTTTCAGTAAGTACCACTTGTGCATACACGTAGTACAGGTCGCTGGTTGAACTATCTCTGACATTTCCTTTCTCTAACAGGTGCGTATTTCTGAACTTTCTGAACCGGGTGTAACATACGAGTTTGGATGTAGTTGCTGGTTAGAGGACAATAACAATGGAAAAGACCTCAGACATAGCACAGGTAGGCACACACTTAATATATGATACTAGCATTAAGATCATATATAGTTCATACTTAAAGCAATAAAAGCTGTACTTTCAGTATGAAACAAAGTTTAACAAATATTATAACCCCAGTTGTGTCTGTCATATTTAATATGTGATTAACATGTTTCCTTTCCAGCTTGTCCGTCCATATCAAATTGTGCAACGCAGCGTTGTCGTACCTGTACAGCATGCCAGTCGCCCTCAAAGGATTTTTATTTCAGATTATCTGCCGACAAAGTCAAATGTGACAGTGAGTTTATAATTTAAGGATACGCAGTTATTGACTCGTAAAAATAGAGACATCAGTTACATTCTTTTAAACATCTCAATGTTTACCACTCATAATTTCCTGTTATAACCCGACCGCCTCCGTGGTCTAGAGGGAGAGCGGAAGGTCCGGGATTCGATCCCCGGCCGCGTCATACCAAAAGACGTTAAAAGATGGTACTTGTTGTTACCCTGTCTGGCGCTCGGCATTAAGGGGCTAAAACAAGGACTTGTCAGCTCGGAGTCAGTATCCTGTGTCTGAGTTGGGTATTCATGTTAAACTGCGGCATGGTATCTCAGTGGGCTAGCACTATAAATCGGCATCAGTCCGGACTAGTAAAAGCAGCCACATACACCCACACACACACGTGCATCCACGTCGCTATATATACACATGGACAAGAGTTAAGCGCCACCCACCATATTTGTGATTTGTTACTTTTGGCACTTAATGATGACTATTATAACGAGATGTACGATTGTTATAAGCCGTATATGTAAACCTCATGTGATGCAAACGTTGCCCCAAAGCAAGTTTATCTTGTGTTCCAAAAGAATATGAGCAGAAAAGAATTTTACCGAAGACCAGAAATTGAAGGATTGAAAAACTGTTCTTGTCATGATATCAGCAGACCATATCAGGTGTCACATAGAAACCCTAGTGAGTGCAGAGTCTATTGCAAGACAAAAACGTCGGTAACGTGTGTATGATCCACGGACATTCACCACAGCTTCAACCCTACGCCTCATACTCATTACAAGTCGTTGAATGCTTATCTGAGGCAAACGGATCCATTCTTCATGAAGTGCAGCTTCAAGTCCAGCGAGATTTTGAACTGGGGGATCACGATGTCTGATTTTCTGGCCAAGAATGTCCCAGAGATGCTCAATCGGATTAAGATCCTGACAACAGACCGGCCAAGGAAGAGTGGTAATAGCTTCTTGACGCAAATAAGCCCAAACTGCCCGAGATCTGTGTGGTCTAGCATTGTCGTCCATGTAAACAGGTCTTGTCTGAAGAGGATGGTTGTCAAAATGAAGGACTACCACTGGACGAAGAACGGCATCTTGGTATTATTGACCATTCAGGTTTCCACGAATTGTCAACAGCGAGGGTTTGCAGCCGAAGGAAACAACCCCATATCATGACCGACCCCCCGCCACATGCTAAGGTCTTCCGGATGTTCCTTCGTGCAAAACGAGTGTTACGTTGCCTCCTAACACGTATTCGACCATCAACAGTTCGTAGCAGCATTCAACATTCGTCAGACCAATGGATCCTTCTCCAGTTCCATCGACAGGCACGACACCATATCAGACGATTCCGCATGTGCCTCTCAGTCAGTTTAGGACGTTTTACTTGGATTCTGGCGTTTTAAACAGCCGCTCTGAGACGACGCCTTACGGTCATCGTCGAGAGTCTCTGATGGGTAATCCACTGCAGCCTTAAATCTGTTGCAGTGGCAAATGAATTTCGTCTGACTATCTTGAAAAGACGTTTAACCTCTCTGTTAGAGGTCTTTCTTGGCCTACCAGACCTATGCCCGTCATTGACATCATTGGTTTGACCATGTTTGACAATCAAACGAGTGATATCACTGTAATGACGACCCATTTGTCTTGCAATGGCCCTGCATGACATGCCAGCATTTTTCATGCCTATCACTTGCCATCTATCAGCGTTTGTTAATTTTCTCCTCACCATGGCTGATTTTCAACCTCTACTGGAAGGGGAATCTCACACAGGAGCAAAATGCAACCACGTGTCTGAAATTTGAATTTCACTATTTATAGGGTAGGGGAACTGCAGCAACACGTAAAGCACGCTTTCCTTGTGGTATCTGGACAAATTTGGGTTCATGAAACTATGGAAGCCTAATTCAGTCATACTTCATCATATTTCGTATTTCTGATTCCCACACGTAAAATCAATAGACTATGAATATGGTGGCGCTTAACTTTTGTGCATGTGTATAAGTACAATAAAACCAATTTCACCTCACCTCACCTCACCTATTATAACCCCTAGATAACATTGATAGCATTTATATTGAATTTTGGGATAGGACATTTAGGCAAGAAATGGGTATCCCCACATGCAAAATTAAAACAATGGAAGATTAATAAGAAGTTCAAGTTAAGCTTCAGATATGTGGATGTTTTGATTTCGTTCAAGTGAGTAGGTAAGTGAGTTTGGTTTAACGTCACTTTTAACAGTACCCCAGTTATATCACGGCGTGTCAGCTTAATGTGGGAGGAAAGCCCGAAGTGATGCAGGTCCCACTTCGGTGAAACCCACGAGTACGGGTATGGTGATGACTAACCTAGAAACATAATCGGGGCGAATTGGGATTCGATCCCATAATCATAAGTTTCTGGCGTGCCCAAGGGACGTATCTCTGCACAGGGAATCTCGGCGCCTTAGACGACTTGGCCACCCGTGCCCCCGATTTCGTTCAAAATTTGTGAAATAGCCAATTCCTTTCCACTGATTTACCCCCCTGAACTAGAAATAATAGTGAAACCCAGTGGTGCAGCAAGGTTTTCTTGCTTTTGAGCATTTTATATCAAACGAATTTGGGACTCATGCAGACGTTCGATCCTCAATAATGTTGTTCAAAACATAAAACATAAAATCAGACATAAAAAATTCTATCGAATGTGCACTGTAAGTATACCGTCTAGATCCATATTTACTTTAAATAATTTTGTTAATTCAATAAGAAGAGTTAACTTTTATCTATATTCCAGCTGTCTGCTCATATGTAAGCAACAGGTGGTGCTGGCCTGGCAATTGCTACAATGGTCTTCTGACATCCTGCTCGTGTGATAGTGGATTCAGGAAGTCAGGGACGTCCACGTGTGACAGTGAGTGTTTTACAATTTAATGTTTTGAACATTTGAAATCAGTGGTCACGGTGTACGTTAAGCATGACAAATATATAAGGGATCACAGCAGGTTAATATTATCAATGTGTTATAGTATTTTACAGAAACTAGCATAAAATAAATAAATAAAAGCAACGAAGAGTGTTAGGTCTTATCATCAGCTCAGGACTCAAGCCCCCTCTACACGCAGCCCAGACAGGGAATGTGACTTCTCCCAGGAAGCGTTGCCTACTCGAACCAACCAAGAACTTTCGGAAAATGTGAAGACTGCCCAACATTGAGCCTTCTGCATTAACCAGCTTGTCGGAAGAGTGGTGTTCCTGGCAAGTACTCGATTGGGAGGTACTAAATCTAAGTCACCGAGAACTAAGGAGAGTGAGACAACTTCGTCCTGGATATTCAAGGGTTACGTTTCGTAATTGAAGTCCGCATATGTGCATCTTCTTTTTCTTCTTCTTCTTCTTTTTCTTCTTGGGCGAGCCTGACCACACGATCCAGTTAGTCGCCTCTTACGACAAGTGCAGTCGCCTTTTACGGCAAGCATTGGTTGTTGAAGACATATTCTACAATGGACCTTCACGTGTCCTTATTTTGGTATTAGTGGTAGTGGCAGTAGTAGTGGTACTGGTTTTGAAAACTGGCTGCCCAGGATGCACATGCGCACACAATCAGTGAGCATACAGTAATCATTTTCTTTAATAACTGCAGCCCATCTGAGAGGTTCTCAAATAAAACGTTAATTTCTTGTGGTTGGTGTGCGTTATTCGTTCATTACACTTTTCTTACGTGTCATTGTTGGACTCAATTTGTACATGTTAGCCTGTCTAGCTGCTTGTGCCACTCGGTGTTTGTGGTCAGGAGCTTGACTCTTACTCATATTGTTACAAAACTACTGACACTGTCAATCCGTTTTGCATAGATCATATTCTAACCCGTACTAAACGAACCAGACTGCATACGTTACTTAATTGCGTAAATAGTTGATACTGTTCATTGAATGCTGCCAAACTCTACCAATAGAATATTTTTGAAGTCGTTTAATAACAGTTTTTTCAATGTGAGTGACTTTCTAGATATCCTTTAAAACAAGTAACAAGAAAACAAGGGATAACATGAATTAAATGTAAATCAATTTTGTGACACTATTGGAATTGGAATACTGGCTGAAGTCTTAGGGTTTGTTTTGGATAATGGTACAGAACGTTGTCGCACACGTTCATCCCACACACGATCAAGGATGTGTTGATGGACGTTATTCAATCTGAATTCAAACTGACGGTGACCCAATGCGAAAATGGTACCGTGACTGGCTTCAAAACCTCAGATTAGTTAGTGAGTTGGGATTAACATCGCTGTGAACAGTATTCCAGTCATATCACAGTATGTCAGCTTTATGTTTGAAGAGGTGATGCAGGTCTCCGTCATTTACACCTTTGGTGAAACCTACGTGCACATGTATGGTGCTGACAAACCTCGAAACAAAATCGTGGCGAAGAGGGATTCGAACCCACAATTATGGGTTACTGGTGTGCCAAAGGGTTGCAACTCTACATAGCGTATTGCTGTGCTTTAGACGACTTGGCCACTAGTGCCCCCCATCAAGATGGATGAGGTCTGTCGTGTAGTTGGAGGTGGTTTCAGCACACACCATATCGGCCATGTTGTGCTATAGTACGCTGTTGGAAGTGCTCGTATATAAGAACATCCCCAAACATGACTCCGGACATATGTAAAGTAGAGATATCACCATTTAGCCTGGTGACACCGAGACCACAACTCACTAACGCTCTTACGTCGTTCCCACTCAATTCATACACAGTAAAGACTTTATTTTCTGCAACTCACAACAGTTGGAGCAAGCCCCAAACTCCCTTAAGGAATTAGTTACAATTTGCGGTCTTCAGAGTCGGTCGCCTCTTAAACGTCAGTCACGATCATGGTCTCACCTCAGTGGTTTTCCTATGAAATATTGGTAACATTGACATTATTCTTATTGATATGGTTAGATCATTGGAAGTTCCTGACTTAATATTGTATTTTCCTCACATTTGAGTGATTCTGTTATTAATTTTCCTACTGAAACACAACAATTTACTACCGTTCACATACTTTACACAACAATGCATGGTTGCCAGCATCACGCAAACATGCTTTCTGCATACATTACCAACGAATATGTTTCGTATGGGTACATTCTAAAGGGAATAATACCTTATGACAACCATTTGAATTTATTCTAATCATTCCTCATAATATCCCTATGTTGACCGGTCATCGCTAATCATACATGTATATATTATTAATAAATTACCTTATTTTCTAGTTGCCACGAAGGCAAACCTGCTTATCTGCAACGTTAGAATAGCAGACCACAGAGGTGTCTTCGGGAACAGCAACAGCTTTGGCAATAGCAGCTCTTCACTGGCAGAAATGTATATCAACATACAGCCTGAGTCTATGTACTTCAGCATCAAAGCTGACTTTCAAACGAAAGTATCATCATCTCCGCCTGTGTATATCAGTAGAACCTATATCGGTATCGTGGACAGCAACGTGACAGTTACACGAAGGACCCTATCAGGTAAATGGACCATAGACAAAATGACTCTTCATTTATTAAGGATTTATTATAAATATGAAAATGGTCGCTTTTGTTACAGGCGTGAGTGGCGGTTGCTACCGGTAGACATTTGTACAGTTTTCGCGAACACCTGGTTATCACTGTTCCACGGTGATTAATGCATATTATTTTCAGCACAATGTTGCCTTTTTCGCCCAATAGAATCTGTTTTGGTACATAATCGAAAAGGACCTTTGTGATGGTGTTTGTATGGAACAAAATTATTATATAGTTGTTTCAATGTACTAAGACGATTATACCATAGAGTATGTCATTTTTGACAAATAGTATTCAGGGCATAATATACATTTAAACGTGGTGTACGTGAACATTATCTGAACCTCTTATAATACCACATGATTTCATATAATCTGACGGCCAAAAGAAACGTTACCAACGTTACTTGTAGGATAATATATGACCAACACAATTAGAAGCAGCAATAACAATTGCATTGTAGAAATTCGTCATTTAGAACAGTAAAATGCGAATTTACTAATTCAACAACAAAGTCCTTGACCTCCAACTGGGACATTTCTTGACAAGGGGACATTCGTCCAGTATTCGATCAACAGCATTGGTTACAACTTTAAGGTGACGACGGCCCAGACCGTTCAATACGGGATATGACCTCCATGAGCGGCAATGCATCTTCAAATGCGGCGTCGAACTGAGTTGACAAGCGCCCTAACATCGACTGCAGGTATCCGATTCCATTCCTCACGGAGGGCAACGATCAACGCTTGTCTCGTGTTGACGTTTCCGAAGACGACGCCCCAGCTGGTCCCAGAGATGTTCTATGGGTGAAAAATCTGGTGATCGAGCTGGCCTAGGCAGGACAGTCACGTTGTTGGTGTTGAGGAAGTCTCTAGTAATACGGGCTTTATGGGGTGTGGCGTTATCTTGTTGGAACACCGTCCGTTGTTGACGCTGGATGAAAAGAAGAACCACTAGCCGTAAGATATTGTCAATGTAGTGTTGTGCTGTCAGATTGCCTTCGATGCTGACAAGTTCCGTCTTCTCGTCCCCGCAAATGCCGCCCCAGACCATCACACTTCTGCCCCCGTAAGGTTCCACCTCCTGGACACAACAAGGAGCCGTACGTTCACCACGTCGTCGATAAACTCGCGTCCGCCCATCAGGTTTGAAGAGTTGGAACCTGCTCTCCTCACTTAACAGCACTCGCCGCCTTTGCCTTTGTTGCCATCGCTGAGTTTGCCTGCACCACGTCAATCTGGCACGTCGATGTTGGCGGGTCAAGGTCATGCCCTTGAAAGGGCGATAAACCCGGAGACCATAATGTCGTAGTCGTCTTGTCACGGTTTGTCTGATGACCGGATGTCCTAAGCTGGAGGCAGCTGATGACGTCACAGTAAGAAATCTGTTCCTCAGATGAAGTACCCGTAAAAAGTGGTCATCCTGCGGGGTCGTGACCTTTGGTCTGCCACTCCGTGGTCTGTCTTCGGTTCTGCCAGTCTGTCGGAGACGTGCGAACAGTCTGGTAATGGTCATCTTGGAGCAGTTCATGTTAATGGCAACCTCTCTCTGTGTCGCTCCCATCTGCAGCATACCTATCGCTCTCTCACTCTGGACACCGGCCAGTGTTGGCATGTTCGTTGGTATTAATCATCGCAACCAATGATAGGGAACAGATCCGTGCGTAATTTATACCCGGAAATTATAAGATAATTTGGGAAAGAATGTTTTAAAAAATTGCTGAAAAACACCAATATCTCCCAAAATCCGCAATGAACGTGCAAAGAACGACCGAGAACATGAAGGCTGTATTCGTGAGATGTGTTCCTTACTGTTTTTGAACAGGTTGGCATATTTGTTTCAAAGTGGCAAATCAGTTAATGTTGGTAACGTTTCTTTTGGCCCTCAGTTTACATATGATCATTACAGAAACGTATAGATACGGATTATTATACGCGGAAGTAATAAATGTCCAAAGAACTTGACACATTGTGATGGTTTGCAGGTAACATTTAGATATGCTATATCAACTAAAGATTTGGTAAATAAAAGCAACAAAACCGTTTACATAATAATAATATAGATCAGGTGAAAGCAGAGTCCATTACACGAATCCTACTATATCATAAACATTTGTTTATGAATTACTGTCAAATAATGATGATACCAGGTGTTTGCGAAAAGGTGAGCGAATCCTGCACCACAAGTGGTACCGATCACACACATGGAGACACAAGTCTATTGGACCCGTGAATAGGTCTTCAGCAACACATGCTTGCCATAAAAGGCGAATATGCTTGTCGTTAGAGGCGACTAACGGGACCCGGTGGTCAGGCTCGCTGACTTGGTTGCTGCATCCGAATTGCGTGGATCGATGCTCATGATGTCAGTCACTGGATTGTCTGGTCCTGACTGGATTATTTACAGACCGTCGTCATTTAGCTGGAATATTGCTGAGTGCTGCGCTAAACATCAAACAAACCAAAAACAAGTCTATTGTTCACCTGAAAAGACGAGGAACATGTGGAACGAGTCAAGAACGGGAATTATATTGGACGTTATTTTGGTCACTGATGCATCAAATTAAGAAACACCTTGAAACATTTTGAAAGATTTACTGATGCTTTGAACGTTGTAATCATAATCAAACATATTTTGAACAAGAGTCATATGATACTCTTTGACCATTCTCGGTTGTACTTCAAAACTTTTGAAATACGGGATAGTGGTGTCCAAAATCAAATGTTTTGCCTTAACTGAACTTGGTGTCTTTGAGACAGGGATTCAGGGATCAATATATCCCTCTTTGTACATATCTTTATGAAGTATTGGAATCCCAGTACAAAATGTGTGATGGCCATGTCTTCAGGTTTTACAGCTACGTCTGTATGTTTTAGGGTCAAAATGTACACAGCGTTGATGCGTGGTTTTCTTCCTCAGTTAACGTACTGGTAACATTAATGGCAATGTGTAATATCTGTAAGTTCTTTAGTGAGACAATTGAGAGGTGATGCTTACATATTCTGGTTATTATATTTGAGGCCTTATCTCTGCTTTTATCTGAGCCCGTTCAATTCCGACTATATCATAAGCATGTGTATGAATCATTTATCAATTAGTGATGTGAAAAGGTGAGCATAGCCTGCCCCACCAGTGTCACTGGTCACAAACTCTTGCAAAGGCAAGTCAGCTGTTCACCTGAGCGGAAACACATTGTGAATATTCTATATGTGAACCTTGAAAGCGAAAACAAACCAAAATGTTCAATCAATGTTTTGACATGTTACAGGTACAGAACAAACTCTGTCATCCACCACGTTGAGGGGAGCTGGCGACTGCAACACGACCCTGTCATCATCCACACCTTCAGCGCTTGTTTCATGTAACATCACATTAAGTGGTTCATCCTCCCTGCAAAATGGAGAATGGTAACTTTCTAACAATGATCGTGTACAACTATATTCGTAATACTTTCAGATGTGTCATACGGCAATTATGAAATATGAATAAAACCATCTTGACTTATAGAAACTTGTCCAGTGATTTCACTTAGACAACATGTAAAGCCAACTCACGCATAAACATTATCATCCCAAAATGATAACAAACACTAAACGTGACAATAACTATTTCAACTTATGCTTTCAGGGTTTGTGGACTAATTAAGGTTTTCTCGGGGGGCTCATTTGATTACAAGAGCTTCGATGGACACATCCTTGGCAACAAGAGGTTTATTCCCATTGTCGAAAGCAAGACCATCTGCTTCAGATACGACAAAGTTGCCCCTGTCCATTGTACAACAGATTCAAGGTTCTCGTGTTCCTCTGACAGTCCCCTGCGTCTATCCACCAGAACCACTAAATCGCCCAACATCACTGTAGGGGTGTCAGGCTGGGTAGATCCCCAGCCAGTAGACGGGTCACCAGACCAAGCCTCAGGAGTGAAGTATTTTAGGGTGGATGTTTATGGTATGAAGAAAATTGGCCTTGATACTCTGGAGGTGGACTACGCTAACCATGTGTTTGCTTCAGACAAACTGATAGAAAACGATGTGAATATCACAGTCTCACTCCCAATAGAACCTGCCATGTATGTTACAAAGTTGGAAGTTCATGACGTTGCTGGAAATATCCGATATGGTCGGCGTTTTCTGTTGTATGATAACTCATCTAAACTTGGGGTCAGAACAGCTCGAGTATTGAGGGTCACATCTGCGTCAATCGAGTCTGGGTATACATGGCAAAATCACCATCGGAACATTCTTTTAGATTGGAACGAACGTTATTATAATGATTTTTGCATAAATAATTATTGTTTCTGTCAGATAAAACCAGACACAAGCAATGGTATATCAGGTGAATACGATCAATTAACGGGCATTTTACCTGTCACGGGCACTGTGAGCATCCACGGCGTGACAAATTTCAAGTATCAATGGTGCCTTAATAATGGTTTAAAATCGCCGTGGGAATCAGTTCCAGATTTCACCAACCAGTCTCTGACTCTCAATCTGAATCTGACGGATGGTGAAACATATGAAGTGTGGATTGAGGCCCAGGATATCATGCTGAACACCATAGTGGAGTCCGTTGTGGTGCACATAGACAGGAGTGTGGCTGATATTGCTGATACCTGGCTGGTGAGAGATGGAACGAGTCAGATATACGTTCACAGCAACACAGATCTTTCGACGATGGTTCTTCAGTTTCGTGGTTTTGATGTCCATAGTGGTATTTCCGCCGTATCGTGGGCACTAGGTTCAAATTATACAGGATTGGATCTTGAAACAGGGACCCTACCAGTAATGAAACTTCAGGATAAGGTGATGGCAAATTGTTGTAATACATTTTACCTCAGGTGTGTGACTGTATATGTTTAAAAGCTGATCATCCAATATTCGGATAATTTCTTTCGGCCCAGCACAATCGCTTTTAAAACTTTTATTTGGATTACTCAACATGTCTAATTTTTTTATGTATTGTCGATAGTTGGGAAATACGAACTACAATTGTTTGAGGCGAAATCACAGCTCATTATTATATGATCTCATTGCCCACCTTCATATCTGCTGAAGACTTCTATATATCCCTTTTCTTAATGACACCATTATAGGTATCAGGTTGAATGTTACAGTTACCGAAATTGCATTCCAATAAAAATAAGCAATATCCAATAAGATGACTAGAAATATACTTAATACTTAACAGTGTTATTGTTGCAAATTTGTTGATGTCAATTTGATGTCAGAGAGCTCAAACGGGTATCACTATTGCATCATAGTGATGTATTCACACAACTGTGAAGATAATTCAAACATACCCTACTATTTCTTTTTCGGATTGATTCATGTGTAATGCCGTTCAAAACCAAATTATTTCTGGTTTCAATTGTTATCTGTTTCTGGGGCACGTGTGGCCCAGTCGTCTAGGTCGCCGCGATTCGCTATGCAGAGTTGTGTCCCTTGGGCACGCCAGAAAACTATGATTGTGGGTTCGAATCTCGATTCGCCCCGATTATGTTTCTAGGTTTGTCAACACCATACCCGTGCTCGTGGGTTTCACCGAAGTGGTAAACGTCTGAGACCTGCAACACTTTGGGCTTTCCTCCCACATTAAGCTGACACGCCGTGATATGACTGGAATACTGTTAAAAGCGGTGTTAAGCCCAAATCACTCACTCACTCACTCACTCACTGTTATCTGTTTCTGCAGGAATTGAAAATAGTACAGGAAACTTTTCTGGAGCCATTTTGAAGTCAGGTTGCCTAGCGATGTGTCCTTAAAATAAGTCAGAAACGACCTCGCCAATTTTGGGTATCAGAATATAAATAAAGTTTGACTCGAGCTTTTAATGTAGTATTAATGTCATAGGCATGCATCATCACATACCACATAGCGCCTCAGCAAACATTATTTCATACGCTTTCATATGCTTTCAGGGATATTGTCCGCCGGGGGATGACTGTTACTGTCCAGACGTAGGTCCGTGTGAGTATCAGAACTACACACTAAGCCTCAACAGACTTGTTAGAAATAAAAGCATCACTGGACAGCATAATACACTGTACTATTTCACACTTGTTCTCTCCAATGGAGCCTTGTTGAAAAGTTTTGAACATCTTGACGTGCTGGTTGATGTGACTCCAGCAGAGATCGGTATCATTCAGGAAGGTGTGATGAGCGGACATGATCTAGATTATACTAGTGACACCAATGTTATTGTCAGTTGGAAAGGATTCCTTGATCGTGAAAGTGGAATACGGAATTACATAGTGAGCTTAGCAAACAATCGTTGTTTGACGGCTGAACAACTCAATAAACAGATACCAGAGTATGATGCACTGTTCATGGTTGTCAAGTCACAAAGGACCAGTTTCAACGTCACTAAAAGAGGAAAATACTTCTCGTCTGTTCTTGCAATCAACAATGCTCTTGAACCCTCTGACGCGGTCTGTTCTGATGGTGTGTTTGTAGACCTAGAGGATACTGATGTTGAGAAAACCAATGCTGTGATTATCTGTAAGTTGAAAATGTAAATAATAATTTGTAAAAACAAGAAGTCAGTGTTTTTACCAATTTATCAATTCACATTGACTCTTATGAAAATTAACTATCAACTATAACAATACATATTGATTTTCACATACTAACTGTGTATGTTAGTTTACATATTTAACCTTTCAGATTTCCAAATATCTGCTGCATATATATATATATATATATATATATATATATATATATATATATATATATATATATATATATATATACCAATGGTTTCTTATTTAAAGATCTGCCAGTGTCAAAAGTAAAAGTAGAGAGTGCCTCCTGCCCTTTGACATGAAAACAAACAAACAACTGACTTGCATGGTTTGCTACCAATTTCATCTGCAGTCAAATGTATTCTATGTTACGTTGCAAACAGAAAATATTTTTTCATTACATTGAAATGGTGGTATTAAAAAGTGAATGAGCAGCTTTAAAGGAGAATGAGTTGTGAATGGAACGAATGTGATGATTGATAGTACGGTGATAATTACCAGATCATAAGATGTCGGTTCTGTATGAGTGAAGGTAAGTAAATCCGAGATCGTAAGTCATAAGTCTGGCCAATATTTTATGATAGGTAAGTACAACGGACCGTCAGAATGAGGCGAATTATGAAGGTTCAAAGACGGGTACAACTATTTTTACATTCACAAAAAGTATCTGAGACTAGTATTCTCAAATATTAAAAGAATTTGCTTGAATTTGTGCAAACGCGGAAAAGAACAAAGTTATAATCTGATATTTGATTTTTAGATGTTGTGCTTCAGGGATATCGATGGTCTGATATCGTTCAATAACGATCAAATAGGCAGTTACCATCCACTGATTTAATAACCTCAACTAGAAATAAAGGGGACCAGTGAAACCGCCTCATCTGTTTCATATTGAGATCTATGAGTAAAGATTCACAGTGACAAAACTCTCCATAACTGTATGACAAGAGGGATAACTTCAACTTGCGCTTTGTGCAGAGCAATACTAAAAGCATGTTCTTTTCACGAATTCAAAGAGCGTCATACAACTCTTGCTCAAGAGCTGTTTGATCATGATAATACCCTCAAGGTCTCAAATAGTTTTATGATAGATAGGTGAGGAACATTTCAAAATGGACAAAAATGATGTCAGATGCCATTCCCTATATTTACTTGTATGTTATGTTCGCGTCTTTTCTCCGGAGAACAATTGTCTTGCCTCTGCATTTGTCTGTGATGGGTGCCATAAGTGGAGTAGACGACACTCACTTTTTCGCGACTATCCCGTATCATTTCTACTTGAAAGTGATTCATAAACACATGCTTATTGTATAGTCGGAATCGTACGATGTTTTTAGCAGAGTATAAAATAGTAATATTATACAAATAAGATTATTTGCAGATCCGAGGCTGTTGCTGGGCTGTTCCTAATGGCTATCGTGTATAGTATTCGGTTTGTTGTGTTTTTGTGTAAATGATATGTGTGCTATATCTGAAATGCTTACAACATACCACATACTTCATGTATTCATATACCATATTTTATGTACATTAAGGTTATGTAACAGAGCAGTTGTACTTATCACGACAGGGAGAACACAATACAGCATTGGTAATTTATAAGTATTCAAACATTAACGCTTGCACACACGAATATACAGGTACGTTCACACATGAACAAGGGCGCTGAGTATATATATCCAATTATTGCTATGTAAATTTCTTGTCAAGTATTATTGCATTTACATCCTGTATCCGTGTCGGATATAATACGGAATGATTCTACTACAGACAGTTTGCGACAGCAAATGCCGGTCCTAAAAGCTATTGTTTACATCGGTTTGCCGTGAATATATTTAACAAACGCATCTTTATATGAATCGTACCAGCATCTAAATCAGATGATCGTCAATCTGATTCTAATCTCCCCTTCGTGACCAGATACCATGAATTTTGTAGTCATGTGTAATTTATATATTACTTCACATATACTTACACTCTTTCGTTTTCCAACAATAGTCAATGTGAAAACTATGACATTTACATATTTTTCAAATATTTTATATGCAATGTTATTATTTAAATAACTTCTTTTCCTTTAAAATCCTTCCAATCCTTACTTTTAGAGATCTCTCGTGTGTGCCCCGCCTATATGAATTTTAACATTCAATTTTGAGGACAACCTGACTGTCGGGTCCCGGATTATGACAGAAACCAAGCGGATCAAACGTTGACGACCCTGCTTGAATGATGGGAAGTAATATATGGTAACATTTAAGTGGTAATGATTTGATCACAAATGAGATACTAATAAGACATATTGCACGTGAACACTATCCTTAGAGATTATGTACGGTGATCATACTTTTAATTTACCTGATAGATTTAAGTGTTGTCGTCAATTGTTAATTTAGTTTTTACAGAGCTGGCACAATCTACTAAGTCATCAATATTTTCGAAAGAAGATTTGTGTCCGGTTGTAACATAACCATCAACATTAATTATTCGACAGAATACATTTGTATCGTTGAAATTTTTCTTCTTCTTTTTCCCTTATGCAGAGATTTCTATTGGATTTATATTTGTCACTTTATATTCAAGAGACGAAAGAAGAAATAAAAAAGGAAGATAATATCGTGCAATATTGTTCAAATAGCAATTCACTTTGACTGATTTAATCACCTGAACTACAATATAAACGACCAGTTCTATATTTAGATCCGCACTTTAAGATTTATAGTGACAAAAAACTGTGTGTGTTACTTTGCTGACAGGATTCCGGATGACATCGGCCCCGGATGAAACGTAACAAATACTACTGGTTCACTCAACGTTCTTTGTTCCTGATCTGAAGTGGGCCGAGCACCGGGTACCCAACATCTTCAACCTTACAACGGACTCGGACAATTAGATTGCTGACATGGTAAAGTGACAACTGCAGATACACTGTATATGTCTGCTGGTACACTTAGCCTATCAAATAAGCTAAGCAGTTCAACGTTTTTCTTTACAGATTAAAAAGTACCAGGCTGCCAAGACACAAACGTGGATCTGGGTGTGGTAATTGTTCTTATGGTGTGTCAAACCAGTATCTCAGATTCATGGGTATCATTTTGACAGGTCTTCAAACCCACGATCAACTGGAAAGGAGGGACGAAACAGCAAAGCAAAATGTAGCGCTATACATTTTTTGACGACAAGTATCCTCAATGTTATGGAATATGTTAATAGAACCAGTGTGCTTCGCATTTATTGAGTGAGTGAGTGAATATGGTTTTACGCCGCTTTTAGCAATATTCCAGCAATATCACGGCGGGGGACACCAGAAATGGGCTTCACACATTGTAACCATGTCGGGAATCGAACCCGGGTCTTCGGCGTGACGAGCGAACGCTTTAACCACTAGGCTACCCGACCGCCCCTTATTGTGTACCAAGATATTCCAGATCGGTATTCCAAATCCACAAGCGATGATGTCCTTGGCGTTCTCATGAGCGAGGCGGTGTGCCTCCTCCAGTTCCAGGTCCTTCCACAGGAACTTCTCATCATCTGTAATCTGTATCACCGGGCGGTGGGGTAGCCTAGTGGTTAAAGCGTTCGCTCGTCACGCTGAAGACCTGGGTTCGATTCCCCACATGGGCACAATGTGTGAAGACAATTTCTGGTGTCCCCCGCCGTGATGTTGCTGGAATATTGCTAAAAGCGGAGTAAAACCCTACACACTCACTGACTCACTCATCTGTATCACCAACGGAACGTCGAAAGTTTCCTGTAGCCATCTGAAATATTGCCCATTCAGCTAGTGCATAGATCTCACGTTGCAACACTATTATTACCTATGTATTCATAGCAACATTCTATAATCGTGAATGATGTTTTAGAAAACAACGATACAATGTTTGTCCCCACTTGTCACCTTTGTTTCAAGAAGAGCTGAGATAGTACTGCATGCCACTAATAGAACGACAGTGAAAATACATGATGTGAGGATGAATGGTATTAGATGACCCAGGTACATTGCCTCTTATGATGGCCCATGGCCAGTGTAGAGGTAGATAGGCTGCTTCATCTCATACATGTCCAGGACTTGGCCCAGCAGATTTTTCAATAAGATCTGAGATAGTACTGCATGTCAATACTCCAGTTCCAGGTCCCTCCACAGGAACCTAACGATATTCGTCATTTTGATGTACCTGCTGCCATATGAAATATTGCAAATTCAGCTATTTTATGTAGGTCAAATTTCAGCACTACCTTCATCTCACTATATATTTATACTGTTAGCATTTAACTATAGCAGCATTCTACAATCGTGAAGGCTGTTTCTTGCAGCCCTCGCGTGTCACTCTTGACAGTAAAGATGAATGGTAACTCTTTGTCTTTGTTTTTATATCATCAGGTATTATTGACACACTGAGTGAATATGACGCATCCTCTGTTATTGTGTCTAATGAGATGGAAAGTGTCTGTTTTGTATTTTGTAACAGATATTCCAATAATCACTGCCACCTCCGAATCTATCCACTCCGACAACAATGTTTTAGCAAAACTTTCATTTCTACGTCTGTAGACACGAGTTCGCTCATTTCGACTTTGAAGGAAACAACGAGATTTATCACTAAATCGTATAATAGTACCGCAATACTGCCAACTCACGAAACACATTGTTTGCGACGACACTCTACGCAGACTGGGCACATTGGAGGTGTGTCTGTCGCTGTAACGGTCCAATGACGAAGTTGGAAGACCCGGATGAACCTGTCCTCAGCTGCATTGGGATCATTGAGTTTGCCAGATCTTAGGCGATACCGTTGGTATCTGTCACAAACACGTGAAAGTATGTTGTGTTTAAATGTCGATCAGGCTACTTACGACTGAGACTATCCAGCCTCCGTACGTCCGATGGCGTTATTTCGAGTTGCAATCGAAAAGTGCTCTCAGTAGACAGTTTACCGAAAGAATACTACCCGTTTCTATTTTAGGAGAGGAAATATAGGCGTGTTGTAAACTTCCTAAGTGAATCACATTTCACATATTGACTGTAACATGTATACAATTTGTTGTATCGAAACACATTTCCTATGTTGTCCATGTTGTCTTCCATATTGTCAGTATTGCATTTTTATGATCCTGTCAGTTTTAATAATCTGAAGGTTATAGGATATTGTCGTGATAAATGGTTTGCCGACTTGTAGTCGTATAGGATAATTTCAATGGTGAAATAAATATTTGGTATCGCATAGATTTCTCCAAATGTAATATACAATAGTTAGCTTGCTAAATTGTCTTTACGGTAGGCAATGAAAACATATCTAGAGTCCAAAACAACGTGAAACATTTTTCTCCCTTTACATAACACTTTTACCACATGAGTATCAATCCGTAAATATACTTTCCAAAGACAGGCGACTAAAACTGTTGATAGGTTTTCATTGATCCTTTCAACTGATTAAAAATATATTGGGCATTGTTCAAATAAGTATATTTCTATATCTACGAAAACTACAACTTCTATACTGCTGATATTATAATATATTAACTAAAGTTTCAAGGCCACATACCCATCACAAAAACCTCAAAGGTGTCGAGAATGACAGTTTCTACATCCACATATATTAATACAAAGAAGGAATACAATGTGTTTTTAATCCTCAAATGGAAGTTAATATGTTTCATAATAAAATGCAAAATGAGATTGGGTATTAATTGAAAACCTTTTAAATGTTCAGTTTATAGTCAACGTTTTAGTCCACTTGTTCTTTACGCATTGTGTAACGGTCAGGGGTTGTCAGCCGGTAAGTGTGAGATGAATTGGGTTCTAACGTTGAGATCAAAATGATTGAGCTTATATTGCGACTTGGATCGTTAGCATCAGCTGCAATGACGGGACTCACTTCCTTTACAACTGCAGCTCACTGACTGGCAGATTCTCCCCACTTCTGCGTCTGATGCAATGTCCACACGCGACTATAAAACCAGCCAGTAGAGACGAACCCGTGAAGATCCTGGTAAAGAAAAGGTCCTCAGCAACCCTTGCTTGTCGTAATGGGATCGGTTGGTCAGGCTAGCTGACTTGGTTGATGCATGTCATCGTATCCCAATTGCGTGGATCGATGCTCATGATGTTAATCACTGGATCAACTGATCCAGACTCGATAATTTACAGACCGCCGTCGAATAGCTGGAAGTTTGCAGAGTGTTGCGTTAAACAACAAACAAACAAACAAACGAAGAAATAAACATAATGAAGACCAAAAACGAATGTATAGGGCGTCAATCCATATAGTCAGGCAACACCATTATGTATGACATCTTTCACAGAAGGGAAACTAAAGAAGACCAATACATTGCCATTTATAACAAGCTAGATGATTGCTAATTCATTGTGGACGTTGTCGCAGGTGTGTGCAGTGATCTCAACGACGACGATGCTGTACAACACTATGCCTACCTGTCATGTGTCTGTGTTCAGACCTCTGTCTGAAAACTTCGTAATATTTGTTTGAGATGGGTGACCCAAGACCTGTCATCGACATGAAAAAATCCCGTGCTCTTGTGTGTTAAATTAGCGTTAAAGGACGCATGGTATACAATGATTCAATACTGGACATGGTGCTAGTTATGCAATTTGGAAACTATAGATAAATGTTACAACCGTCCATACAGACAAATATCTAAGAAAGCATTTTCGATGCGTCTTCCACTTCCCACTGCTAAGATATTACAACTCCATATGGAATGTTTATAATCATTGAGGCAGTCTTGGCAAAAGAGTGAAACATGTTACTTGTCTTTTGTACGAGCAATCACTTCAAACATGACTGACAATAATAACCCTACCAGTTATATGTGAGAAGGCTTACTGGCCAGTTTCGACACACTATGCTCCGTAACGACGACCTCCTGTGAGAGACCGGATCTTTGGCTTTGAAGTCTGACATAGGTAATCCTTTTGGGTCTTTTGGTGTGTGTAATTAATCTCCCGCGTAGACGTGACGCTGTTAATAATAATAATACATATTCATAAGCAATACCACCATTGTTTAGTAGTCAAATAAATATGTATTGATGGATAATGTTATTGGAGATAATTTGATCAAATACACCTGAGGACATTTGGTTGATCTGTATGAATTGACGGTTAATTATAGAGCGCGCAGGTACATCATGCCATTGTATCGATATTGTAGAATAAACCCCACCTTACAATACTTCAGACATCAGATGAAAACTCCAGGAGTTCATTATATTTGCACATACTGTCTACGTATTATCTTGTGACGGAAGTCGGCTGCGGGGTAGCGTTCACACGTCACGTAATTTGCCCTGGTTCGATTCCCCACGTGAGTATGATGTTTAAAAACCCTTTCTAGCGCCCCCCTTCGTGATGTGACATATTGCCAGAAGTGGCATAAATCATACACACTCATAAACTCGTGTGACAGAAATAACAGTATCAACTGTTTTCGGTGAGCAACAATAAAAAAGGAATTATTAGCTTTGAGCGTTTTTGAGAAATGTTTATTTGTATTGGCCAGATAGTCTCTTGCTGAAATTATTTGATCAAAGTATCTCTTGAAATATGTTATGCTTTCATGCTTGAATTACGTAAGTGGATGTTGACTTACACGTTCAAAATAAATCACTGTGGTCTGTGAATAATTGAATCCTGTCCCGCGTATTACTGTGTTTGTGTGCGTGTTTTGTGTGTGCGTGTGTGCGTGTTGTTTAAAGCCGGACGTAGTGATATTCCACCTTTATGATGACGTCTGGTAGTCCAGACAGTCCAGCGATTGGTTTTATGCGCGACGATCCAAGCCGTCCGGGAACGATGACACGCTATCATTCCGTATCAATTTACGACAAGCATAGGTTTCTAGATATCGATTCTGTGACCAATGAAGGGGAACATTTCCCTTGACCTCATTCCTACTTGGTTAAATGGAAATGAAAGCTGCGCTTTCATAGCAATAATATTTTTCTATGAACATATACCACAGAATACATAAATATACTATAAGATAGTTGTTGATAGTTGATAGTTTTGGATTAAGGTCAACCCTATATATAATAAACTGACGTCCAAAAGAAACTTTACCAACTATAAATTTCAGACAAAGTATTATTTTAGTTCGATGAAGTCTATCTGAAACACATAACCTAAATACAACAATAGTGTATGCAGAAAATGTTAATCGTCTGTTACATGTTTGCGAGATAACACGCGAAAAAGATACCTGCAAATGCACGTG